GGATGTGCTTGCTCGCTCTCTGCTGCGTGGCACTGGAGCAGGGCTGTTTCAGTGTCCTCACCTGCAGAGCTGCTCCTGTGCCTGCAAAGGGCAGCCCAGAGCTGAGCTGGGGCTGAGGAGGGAGAAAATCCTTTTCTCCTGCCGAAATGGCAGCCTGGGAGCAGCAGAAAGGGCAGCAGAGCTCGGTGTGGGCAGCGTTACCTGAGCTCCCCTGCCTGGAGCCTTCCCCTCTGGGAGCCAGAGCTGTCCTGGTGTTTTATTCAAATGGTGCCGTAAAGAACAAATGTCTGAAGTGTGGGAGGGACAGAAAAGTTCTCTCATTTAGCTCCAGCACAGTCACTAGAAAACGATCGAGGCTGCAGCAGGCAACAGACACACTCCAGGGATAGCTGGGAGCATCTCCCAGGGCTTTGTGATGAGAGATGTCAGCAACAGCAGCCAGCCCAAGCTGCAGGCCCTGGGAAAGGCTTTAAACCTGCTCAGAACAGAATCACTGCTGGGGTCACACTGAGATGAAAAGGAGAGAGGAGTGGTGTTAAAAAGATGATGAATATTCAGAACATGTCACACCGATGTTCTCCTGTTCCAGAAAATGGTTATTAAATTTATCCATCGCCTCTTCCTTTGCTGTCACACAGAAGAGGATGCTGCAGCTTGTGAAATAATGCAGGGCCAAGCCAGCCTTGCTTCAGCCCTGGTCCACAGCGTGGGGCAGCCTGGCTCAGGTGTGAACGCTTGCACAAGCAGGGATTTATGGAAGTTTCGTATAAAAAAATGATTTCAGGTGAATTCCTACTTACCTAAAACTATTTTTAAAAGAAAAAAAACCACCCAAAAAAACCTGGGAAGAAGCTGTGAGGGATGGCAAAGGCCACACTCGGGGATAAGAGCTTTTGATGCATTGCTCAAGTGAAATTAAAGCTTTGGTAACTCAGTTCACTTTGGTAAAATAACACTGTGACTTTTCAATGGCAGGGATTAATTTCTGAAGCCGTAGAGGAGCATTTAGTTTCAATGAATGATGAAGCTTGACTGAATCAGACAAATGAAATAATTGCCCTCTGTCTGGCAAGGTTATACTTGTGGCTGGACTTATTTCTTAAGCAGATTTGCAGTGCACAGAAATGGGAATTGCAGGTTGGAAGCTCATAAAAATATCTTGAGAGGGGTGCCAGCACTTTTTCTGGAGCAGGAAGGGTTAAAGGGTGAATGCTCTTTCAGGTCAGGTGTCCACAGCTCTGATTTCTCAGTAACCAGATGTCCTCTGCTGGTCTAATTAAAATGTTTTGTTTAATTTCAAACAAATGTTTTAAATTAGCTCAATGGCAATGCTCTAGGGAAAATGAATTTCTAGTCATTTTTTCAGGCACTGGACAAAACAAATGCTGGCCTACATTTTTTAGAAAGGATGTGAGATTTCAAGTGCCCTCAATATCTGGTACCTAAAATAGATGTCACAGGAATGACACGGAATCATTACTCGATGAAAAATGCTTCATTTAGAGAGAATTAAATTGCAGATGATTATCCACCCCTTTGGAAAAATGAAGACTGTTTCTCATAAAATTAGGAATCCTGTTTTTTACTACGGTTTGCTTTTATATTGGTGACTTTTTGGATTAATAAGTGGCTCCTTTGCTTTAAAATTCTCCATGCAATTAAGGCCCTGGGAGATGAAGGTTTGGCTTTGTCTGTGTCAGGCAGAATTAGAGGCACTGAGGAACACTGGGACAGGTACAAGGCTGTAGGGACCTGCTCTTACATGAGGTTTAAGCTTTAAACATTAAAGGAATGTTTAAAACTCTGGGACCAACCAGACAGAGGAGGGTGGAAGTGAAATAAATTCTGGAATGATGAGATTACTTTGGACAACTTAATGAAAAAAAATGCTCAGGTCCCACTGAGCCATTAAATGACTGAATTCCACATGGAAGCACCCATCTCCTCTGACAAGCCTTTGACAAAACTGCTCCTTTATTTTCATGGGGAGTGATTCCTGACCTAAAGATTAAAAAGACTGGGGGGAGAGAGGGACAGAAGGAGTTATGAGCCCAAGAGACAGGAGGAAATCCATTGAAAATGGAAACCAAAGTGCTCCTGCATTTATTAAACCCAAAGGTAGCAGTTGCAGATGTTTGGGTTGGTTAATTGCTGGTAAATGATTTGCAGAAGAGGCACAAATACTTTTAAATCTTCCAGTATCCATTTGAATATTTTTCTTTCATGCTGAAGTCCTGATATGTTTACAGCAAACCTTCAAAGCCTGTTGCCAGGCTGGAGCTCTGGGGCTCTGTAAATGCAAACCCCAATGGTCAGCACCCCCAAAAATGGGAGAAGTTAACCCAACATGAGTGTTCTTAGGGCAGACTGGTCAGGAGAGTCCAGAAATTAACCCTGGAAATGGGGACTGTGTGTTCTGGGGGTGATTCAAATGAAATCCTAATTGAGAAAGCTGCCATTCCACAGGGCTGGCTTTGTCACACGCCACCAGTTCTGGGGTGGTTGTGCCAAGGAAGGGAACAGCCTCCTGGTACCCATGGCCCATGGATTCAGTGGCAGAGCTAACTGCAAAATAAAATGCATGTAATTGGATTAATTAACAGTACATTTCAAGGTCCTGAAATGCAGCAGTAGCCGTGGGGTAGGTGCACAATGGAGGTTTGTTCCTGCAAACAGAACAAGTGCTATTTTTGGAGCTGTATCTGCAGCTCATCGAGGTGTGCTTTGCTTAAAAAGCTGCTTGGGTAGGAGTGGGGCTTTGAAGGGGAAGATAAATACTGTAATTAGGGCTGCAGGACAACAAAAGGATTATTCTTACCTATAAAATCATTTGAGTGAAGTTGCTGCAAGGATAATTATACCCAAAACTGCCTGCATGGGTCTCATATTTCCCTTACAAGGACTTACAAGACTCATTGAATATTTATAGGCCTGGAACTTAAGACGGGATGAAATGTAAAACATAAATCCAGGCGCAGTTTATGCTGATGAAATGTCCTGCAGTTGGTGCCCCAACCTTTCAGCCTTCAGGGCTGTGATGGATGAGCCCAGAGCTGGCCACCCTTGATGGATGAGTGCTGCCTGCTCCGGGGCTGGGCTCTTCTCCTGCTTTTCCTCATGCACAAGTGTTGTTTGTGCTTCTGCCACTGTTAGCACATGCAAATGAGTGTGCTGCTTCCCAGATGCAGGTTTCATATTTATAGATTAAATACAGCCTGAAAAATCATATGTTAATTACATTCTGAGGGTGTAGCAGAATTTCTCACTTGCACATATTTTGTTTTGCTGGGAATAGCACAAATTCCAGATCAATATATTTATAGTTGAAGCTTAGTAATAAATGTATCAGGCTGCAGAAAAAGCTTTCTAATCGTTACTATTACTAATCTCTTACCATTAGCTCAGTGCTCAGGCTTCTGTCCCACGTTGTGTATTTGTTTCTTTGCTTTTAAAAACCTGTTGTTCTGAGAAAACAAGGGGAGGGGGGCTGGCAAAGGATCAAAGCCAATCAAACAGGTGAGCAGAAATAAGCTGGCAGGCTGAGAGGTTTTGAGAGGAACAGGACACCCTGAAGTTGGCTCAGTTAGTCAGAAAAACCCTTTTTTATTCCCTCTGAAGGTCTCCTGGCCCATCTGTGAGGCTGTAAATGAACCCTGCAGCAGCTCCTCCCTCAGTGCCTGGTCTGCAGAGGCCAAGGGGAGCTCCCTGTCCCTCCTGGGGCAGCACAGCCACACTCCCAGCCCAGCCTGGCAAATGCACACCGGGAATATGGGGGAGAAATGGGCTCAGAGGGGAGTGCAGCAATGCTGGGATTTTAAATCAGGCTGGTTTTGCCCTTGGGGATTGTGTTATTGAAGGTAGAGCTGAGCAACCCCAACACAAAACAAGGAGGGAAATTTGGGAGAAATCAATATACAACATTCAAACTGCTTTCTTGTTTACTGTACCAGAACCTTGCAAAACATCAAAAATAGAGAGGAAAGCTCAAAATACACAGTGAACATTATTACAAAGAAAAGTCTGACACAACAGCCACTGAAGTCAACAGAAAACATTGCACAGGCTCTCCTTGGGGCAGGATCGAGATAGACAAAGCAAACAGCTTCCTAATAACAAACACTTAGAAATATGCCTCTCAACTTTTTTCTCTCTAGATGCAAGTCCTCTGATGAGCAGTTACAGACTCAGAGATATGTCCATAATCCCTGGGATGACTGGTGTGGACTTTAGGCAGAGATCAGGCTCACTTTAGGACAAGCCTGCTGCATTATATAAAACACACAGTAAATAGAAAATACCTCCACTCCCCCCACATCCCTTTTCATAGGTCTCATAAATCTTTTAATAAATAAGTAAATGACAGAGGTGCCAAAGGAACTGGCAAACCCAGAGGTAGTTTCTTGTTTTTAGCCAGGCATGTCTGGCACAGCCCTGGCACCTGCTCCAGGGCCACAAATGCAGGGCCACAAATGCAGGGCCACAAATGCAGGGCCACAAATGCAGGCACAGCAGCTGCTGGGGAAGGGCTGCAGGGGCAGCACAGAACTGACCCTGTGCTCCTCCCTTTTCCCCAGTGCCCCTGGAGCTGCAGCAGAGCCTGGCTGAGGGAAGATGTTGTGCTGATAACTCTGCTCCTGTGCTGTGCTGGGGGCTTTGCAGCAGCTGTGGGAAGGTGCCTGGCTGGCTGCAGAGGTGCCAGGGCAGCTGCAGCTGCTGCAGGGGGCTGGGATTGCACCAGGGCAGAGCTGCACAGCTGGCACAGGGCTGAGCTGCACAGCTGGCACAGGGCTGCACAGCTGGCACAGGGCTGAGCTGCACAGCTGGCACAGGGCTGCACAGCTGGCACAGGGCTGAGCTGCACAGCTGGCACAGGGCTGAGCTGCACAGCTGGCACAGAGCTGCACAGCTGGCACAGGGCTGAGCTGCACAGCTGGCACAGGGCTGAGCTGCACAGCTGGCACAGGGCTGAGCTGCACAGCTGGCAGGCTCTGGGTGCTCTGGGTATGTGCCAGCACAGTAACACTGCCCCTCTGCCCAGCCCTCTAAACAGGAGCCAAGAGAAAGCCAAACCTAGTGACATTTCCATCATTACAGAGCTCGAGTGGCTGCCAGCTGGACTCTTGCAAAGTCACTGGAGCCTCAGCACCAGAGTCTGGTAGGTTTTCCTTTCACCTTCCCAGGAATGATGTTTCTTCACGTAGGCTTTGGCCCGTGTTATAATTTCCTTTTCCATAATGGGGTCGTTCATTAAACTCTTGGACAGCATAACAAACTCCTAAAAGAGATGAAGAAAACAATCAGTTAAAATTTCTTTGAAAAAGTCCTAATGATACTGAAATAGCTGGTACCTGTCCAGCTGTGAGCCAATATATGAGGCTGTCCTAAGTCATTTTTCATGGTCAGGTACCATACTTTATTTATAAACAATGATCAATAAAGAATAATTTTATTACTTTACACAGCCCACCAACTAAGACATTAAAAATCAAAGACATTTCCAAGAGTGTTAAGATCAACAAGCAATACATTTAATGACACAAAAATTTCCTGCCTACCCAATTGCTGGAAGCCCAGGCTGTTTATAAATTAATTGCCTGCTCTGCATGGAGGACAACTGGAATCAGGTGTTTGATCTCAGCTCAGTTAAACTTTTATCTCATTGCTACTGCGACACCTTCAGAGAATTTCATGGTAAGACTAAAAAAGTCCCAACACAAACAAGGTGTCAAGGTAAGAGCAGGTATAGAGCAGGGTTAGCTCAACAAACACCAAAAAAAGCCAGATATTCCCTTTAACTTCACTGGCCAAAATACCAGAGCTCAAAGATCACAACTGCTCCTCTGCCTGCTCCTCGGCCTCTCATTTACTTCTAGGCAAAAGAAATTGTGGACTTCAAACATGTGAAAGGAGATTTGATGTCTGAACTAATCTATTCTGAGCAGCTGGTCTAATTTTCTATCAAGAGACGACTTCCAATGCTTGAGCTTGATTACAAATGCGCTCAGAGCTGTGCAGAACAGCGCCCTGGCTCAGCTCAGACAAGCAGGCAGCTCTGGTGTCACAGGAAAACTGAGATAATGTGTTAGCACACAGCTGGATCAGTGCACAGGGGACAAAGAGGATGGGAGGAGGAGACTCATTATTGACACAGGCTGTGAGCTGGGGAAGGAAATAGCACAGGTGAGAGCAGAGCTCAGACCAGCATTGGGTGAAGAAGACAACTGGAGTTGGAAATGGAAGTACACGGAGTGTCTGAATGTCCTCACAGATATGAAATCCACACTCAGCACAGGATGAGCTCTCCTGCCAGCGAGGGCTGAGCACAGCACAGCCTGTGACTGACCCCTGGGACACAAATTCACTGCTTGGACTGTCCTGGCAGGACAAAGCAGCAGGAAAATGAACCAGCCGGACACACAGGTCACTTCTGTGCCACGTCTGCAAGCAGGCGAGAGAATAAGGACATTCCCATACCCACAAGTGAACAAGAAGCTGAGCTCTGGACATGAGTTCTGTGTCCTGCTCCCCACCCACAGCTGCCTGGGGCTGATTTAGCTGGGATTTCAGCCCCTTCCCTGTGAGATTCCTGGAGCAGGAGTGGGAGCACCCGGGCTGTGTCTGCCAGAGCCAACCCCAGCTCCACAGACAACACAGGGAAGGTGGGAAATCTCACCTGACTTCTGCTGCCTTCATCCAATTGCCTGGAAAATCACAGTAATAAATACTGTTCACACTGAGCTACATCCCCAACTTTAATTTTATGCTCCTGTGGAGGATTTTATTCAAAGTAATGTTTAAAAATAATTTATGTAAATTACCTAAGAGGAGAAGCAGCGATGTAACATTTCTTGACAGGTAGTCCTATTAGCATTCTTTTAAAATGTGGATATGGGGGACAAAAACTTGGAAACATGTAAATGATAGAAGAAATGAGATCCTTATTCACAGTAACAATACTTTAGGCTGAGGATAATTTCAGGAAAAAATGCCAAACTGAGTCCAAAGCATAAAATTCGAGAAAATGCGGGAGAGAGAAAAAGCAAATGGAAAAATGCCAGGAGATGGAGAGCAAGGACTTCTCAGCTTTATCCTGCTGCTTCCCCTAATCCAGTGTGACCACCCACAAGTCACTTGCAATGCCCCTGGAAGCCAGTGGGGAGATTCACTGTGACTTATCTGGGTTTTGCCTCGTGGCCTTGGAGCAGCTGGCTGCGCTTGTTTTCAGGTTGGGATGCTCAGCTTCAGATAGCAATAACTTCATTTTTCAGGTGTCTCCCCTAACTACAAGTGACTTGCATTTCAGTTGTGGTTTTGTGGTGAGTCTGGGCTTGCAGCATGCAGACATTCAGAGCTCAGCTCGTTCAGAAAATCCAGCATTTCATTTGGCTGTTCCAGAAGCCTGTGGTGATATATGAAGTAATTACAGGGAGGTAACACCTCTCCAGAAGCTGTTCTGCCCTATTTGTGCAAGTGATATTTGCACAAATATTTATGCACTCCCATATTTTGTTGTAGATGGGAAGTAAGCTCCAGTTTTGGTGAAAGAGGGGTCAAATTCACAAGTTGCCTTCCAGTTATAAAACCCAAGGGTGTGACTTTCAGCAGCCCAAATGAGGGAGGTGATCTAAAAAATGCTGCCTTACAGCTCAGGGCCATCCCTGTTTCTAATAAACCTTTATTCCCTCACAGGTGTGGGTATAATTAATTTACAGGTGGCAGCAGAACACAGTGAAAAAGTTGAGGCTCAGCAATCAAAACCCAGAAAAATTGGAGAAGATCATCCCCTGTATATCCAGAAGCACTCTCACATCTGCCCTTTCCATGGGAAGGACTCCACCACAAACACAGGCATTTTCCTACTGCAACATCCATAATACAGTTTTCTCCTGGTAAATTGACCAATCATCCTTAAAGAAAATGTCAACTCCTCTGTATAATACCAAAAATAAATCCTGTAGAATATTTTACAGAGACACAGGAACACAGGTATCCAGGAGATAAAGCTGGAAAATGAGTGCACTGAGAAAAAAAGAATGAATAATTCCTCAATTACCACGAGAGCTGCACTGGTGCCACAGCTCACACATAATGAAAATAAGATGCATGGTTAATATATTATTTATATAATGAAAGTCAGTCTGCAATTAAAGCATTTCACAGCAGCTTCAGCAGACAGAACGTGATTCTAAAGGAACAGCAGTGACCCCAGGGGGGAAAGGCCAGGTGTGGAGGCAGTGCCAGGTACCTGGAGACAGAGCCCAGCTGGCCCTGTGTGCTCCCAGTGCTGCTGGGCTCTGAACTGGGGGTGCTGGGCACTGAACTGGGGGTGCTGGGCTCTGAACTGGGGGTGCTGGGCTCTGAACTGGGCTGCTGGCACTCCACAGGCTCAGAACTGCTCTGCCCAGGGATGCTCAGAGCCCTGGGCTGTCCCTGTGCAGGGGAGGAAGGCTCTGCAGGGCACAGCAGTGCTGCCCAGCCGGGCTCCCACCCCTCCAAACACTCCAGGGGCTGCCCAGCTCAGCTCCCTCCACCTCTGTCCCTCTCTTAATGCCTTTGAGGTTTATTTATCGCTTTCTCTTTATTTAGGTCCTTCTTGTGAGCCTTTGAAGGTACAATTTTCAAACTCAGCCTGCTGAATAACTCTTTGTGTCTTCCCTTTCAACACAGTTTTGCATTATTTATTGCCCCGTTTTTATCTCTTACTTTTTTTACTTCAGGTCCCATTAACTCAGTGTCAAATATTCCATAAACTTGCAAATTCAAGCAGCAGGATCAACCCATGATTTAAAAGTAATGTGCACAGTAATGTGCACAAATGATGGAGTGTCTGGAACAAAACGTTCCAGGGCTTTCACTCCCACATTAACCATTTCCATGGGACTGGCAGGGCTTTGGCTATTCCCAGCCAAATGCAAATGGTTAAGGATGGCTACAATTAAACACAACATTTCCCACTTTCCTGGAAGCCACACAGGCTCACTTCCAGCAAGAATGAAAGAAGAAATCCAACAGCCCTCACCATTTAAAACAATTCTCATTGCATAATGGTCAATTAATATCCCTCTAATTGGGCTTTCAAAGGACAGCAGGCACAACTGTCCAAGGTACTGCAAAGCCTTCCCTGCTCAGATCAGAAAGAAAATGAGCAATGCTTTCTACTCCTGAGTGATGCTGCAGCCAGGATCCTCCAAACCCAGCAAGGAAAACTCCTTTTCTCACCCACCAAACTTTCCTCATCTCTGCTGGTCCGGATTCTTCCAGCCAGAGACACTTTCCCAAGCACCTAGACACAGTTCTAATCTTTCTGTAGATTAAAGGCATTTTCCTCCCTAACCTGATGCATCTGAAGGCATAGCAGAAAAGATATTTAAGATGTTGAAGTAATCAAAGTAAAAAAAAACCCAACAAATTTCTTACCAGAACATGTTTTCCAGAAACACAACAGGATGCATTAATCACACAGTGCACAAGGTAAATAAATAAAATACGTTCTCTACTTTGCAAAATTATCAAATGGTGTATTTTAGTATGTGTTTTTAATCTTGAGTTGGGTAAAACTCTGAGGGAATCTTTTTCTGAGTCATTTTCCACGGCAGACATGCATATGTAACAGCAAAGCCCTAAGGCAGGAAAATAGGCTGAAATTAAATTTTCCAGCATTTAAATATGGGTAGTGTTCCCTCTCTCCCCACTCTTATTTAACTTCACTGAGACTTCATCCTAACACTTCACTTAATTTAATCATTAATTTCTCTGACTGAGCAATATCTTGCATCTAAAAATACTCCACATTAACACTGCTAGAAATTACAGAAAATGTGTCATCTGCAACTTGAGGCTCACTCTTTTGGTGAGCCACAGCTTGTCTAACACAAGTTCCTATTTCAGTTATCACTTGAAGGGGAATCTGACACATCCAGAGCATCTCCTGCAGGGTTTGGTTATGGAACCTTCGAGCCCCAGTGCAACAAGTGGCTGTGAGCAGAAACATTCAGCAAGGCTGACACCTAGTACGAGCTCCCTGAACTGCAAATGCAGCTCCAGGAAGGGAGAACCAAGGGCCCAGACAGACACAAGCCTGGGACAGAAAATGAACCTCAAGATCTGTGCCTTTCTTACCTGGGGAGTTGAAAATAGCAGTCCTGTTTCCTTGTGTTTTATTATTGCTGCATTCCCAGGAATGTTCCGTGCCAGCACTGGAATATCTAAATCCATTGCCTAGAGGAATGCAAAAAAGGGAAACAGCACTTTCTAAGGATTCATGGATTCAGGAATCTAAGGATTCATGGATTTTGAGGTGCTAACGATGACAATTTGAACAAGAAAAGCAGAAACAACAGCCCAAACTTCTTTCCCACCCCTCCAGTTTTTTAATTGAAAAACACCATTCCCCAGAGAGCTCTGCCAAGGCACTTCCCAAAACAGAGCTTCAGCTCTGAGGTGTGCAAACCCTGGGCTCTCACGTGTCCTGATCTGAAGCTTTAATTACTACTGATGAATTGGGAAGTCTGGAGATGCACTGACTGTAAAACCAGAAATATTCCTATTGTGCAATTATCACAGCGAGGAAGGAATTCACTCCCCCAAATCTTCAATCTGTTTCATACTGATTCCCTGTCACTCCAGAGTCAATGCATTTTTAATTGCTGTCATTACAATCCTGCATGAGGAGCAATTTTGCTTCAGTTCACATAGCAAGGAAACAAAATTCCAAGGAGAAAACCATGATTTTTTAATAGTTTGGACAAAATTGAAGATACAAATACCTGGGCTGATAATGGACAGGACCAATCATATTTTGAACAGGAAAGGACTGCTGGGACTTAGCAACATATTTTAATAATTTAAAATGCCCAAGAAAAGCACAGTTCAAATCATGCAGGTGTATTAGTCTGACCACTGCATTTCCATAGCCCTGGCACACATCTGCTTTGCAGAGCTAAAAATAACAACCCTTGTGACAGAACCTGTCCTACACTTTGGATCAGAAACTTCCAGATTATCTGGGGTAATTCACAGATTAATGAAGTGAACACAAACCAGAAAAAATTAGAAATATAGAAACTACAGACCAGACTTCTGCATTTGTCTAAGCTGTTGAGATAGAGCTTTTTTAGAAGAAGTTTTTAAAAAGTCACTTTGGTGAAATAAAACAGTCTTTGGTCACCCACAGATCGTTGTGTCACTTGCTGTGACCTCACTCAAACCTGTTTTCCAAAGGAAGAGCTCCAAAAGCCTTTGATGAGGGTCTGTCCCATCAGTGCAGACAGAACTTCATCTCTCATCCCCCTGCCAGCACCTGCAGCCCCAGGGAGCTGCTCTGGGCTCCAGTCACCCCACCAGTCAAGCACCAAGTTTATATTTAATTTTCTGTCATTTCCAAACTTTAAAGGAAAAGGAATTTGTTCTGTCTCAGACTTGGAGGGCGGGAGCTGCTACAGAAAATCTTCAGCCCCCCAAAGGCATAGGTACCACTGAATTATAGCTGCTGAAAGACACACCAGATGGCCAAATGCTTCAGATGCAGGGCTGCTGTTATTCCACTGGCCTTAAACAAATGGATTGGGCTGTAAATAATTACTGCACAAAGTGCCTTCGAATTTAATTTAGATACTTAGTCTATTTTCAAGCAGTAAAAAGAATCATTTGCGTTGTTGAAAATATGTATAATTTACTGACCTAGGTTCCAGGAATAATAGCATAAAACAACATTTCAGTCCATTGGCCATCTGTTTTGTTACATTATTTTGACTGCAAATGTGTTTTACTGCTATTACAGGAGGATGCAGGGTGGAAATTGAAGCTGTGGGAACGTTACCCAATAACATCTCTACCCAGCAATACAGGGCTGAGAGAGTAAATGCAGGGTTTATTTACCACTCTGTCTTCTGGATTGTCCCTCATCTTCTTCCTTCTTCTAGCCCATGCATCTTCTTGGTGCCTCTTCAATTTTATTGCTTTACAACATCCCTTCATCTTTATTTTTTTTTTATTTTTGTATTTGCTATGGCTTTTATTCCCAACTGCTAGGCCTGTGTTGGCCAAGATTGGATTGTGCCTCACGGCACAGAAGAGTCTGTCCAACTTCCTTTCCTACAATTTTTGTTTTTAATTGGCTTCTTTTTGGTAAAAGCATAAGAATGTAATGATTTTCACAACTGGGACATTTCTGAGAGCACAGAAAAAGGGCTGCAATGAGATGGTGCTGTCCAAACCTTGTTTTTAGGGACAGAGGGAACACAGAAACCTTTCCAGTGGTGCCTTTCCCACCATCACGTGCCAGCAACGTGCAGAGCTCCTGAGCTCTCAGAGGAAGAGATGCATTTTTAATGTTTGCTGGAATGTTTTGTTTTCTCTTCTTCAAATGCCAAGCACAAACAGATCAGTTAGGGTCAGATCTGAGATCTCAGAACCAGTGACACAGTCATTAGTGATGGCTCTCGGCTCTCCCATACCTTGAGGCAGGTTCAACTAGATGTGATTATATATTTATCTCAATTATCTATTGTGTATTTATCTCACTCTGAAATGCTGTTTACAGATTCATGACCTTGTTAAATGTGGAACTTTGAGGACAATGAGAGCTGCATTTCCAAACTCAAGAGTGTTTTCTCCAGCCTGGGACCAGAAGGTTTTTATGCACAGTTTTCTCCCTTACTGTGGGAGAAGACCTCAGCAGATTTCCCTTCCTGCTGCTGGCCACGCCAGGAAAGAACCTCCCTGTCCTGGGCTGCCCCTTCCTGGGAGGGAGCGGGGTTTTATCAGCAGGGACCAAATCCCACTGTGCAAACACAGCCCCCAAACCCTGTGGAATCCACACCGACTGTCCCGTCAGCCCCGAGCCTGCACACCAAGCAGGGACACCCACCTGAGCTTACACACCTGAGCTTACACACCTGAGCTTACACACCTGAGCTTACACACCTGAGCTTACACACCCGTCTGAGCCTGCACACCTGTCTGAGCCTGCACACCTGTCTGATCCTGCACACCTGTCTGAGCCTGCACACCTGAGCCTGCACACCTGAGCTTACACACCTGAGCTTACACACCCATCTGATCCTGCACACCTGTCTGAGCCTGCACACCTGTCTGAGCCTGCACACCTGTCTGAGCCTGCACACCTGAATTTACACACCTGTCTGAGCCTGCACACCCACCTGAGCAGGCACACCTGTCTGAGCTTACACACCTGAATTTACACACCCGTCTGAGCCTGCACACCCACCTGAGCCTGCACACCTGTCTGAGCCTGCACACCTGTCTGAGCCTGCACACCTGAGCTTACACACCCGTCTGATCCTGCACACCTGTCTGATCCTGCACACCTGAATTTACACACCTATCTGATCCTGCACACCCATCTGATCCTGCACACCCGTCTGAGCCTGCACACCTGAGCTTACACACCTGAGCTTACACACCCATCTGATCCTGCACACCTGTCTGAGCCTGCACACCTGAGCTTACACACCTGAGCTTACACACCTGAGCTTACACACCCATCTGATCCTGCACACCTATCTGAGCCTGCACACCTGTCTGAGCCTGCACACCTGTCTGAGCCTGCACACCTGAATTTCCACACCTGTCTGAGCCTGCACACCCACCTGAGCAGGCACACGGGCACGGCTGCTGCAGGTGCTGGGTCTCCTCAGAGCCCTCGTGCTTTGCTCCTGTCTGTCAGTCCCTGACACCCTGGGGAAATAGATCAGGTTGATTTTTGGCCAGCTGTTGTGTAGCAGCCCTGAGGGGGCCGTGGAGGTGACAGAAAGCTCCCCCTGAGGCAGTGCCCTGCACACTCCATCCCTGGCCTGACACAGCCCCAGTTTGGGAATGTCACAGTCAGGAACTGCTGGAGCAGAGCGGTGCTGCCGTGGAGGAGCAGCTGCCTCCCCCTCTGGGCAGTGGATGTGGGGATGGAAACACACTTCTGCTGTCTCACCATCCTCTGCCCTTCCCAGCTCTCCTCATGCTCACTGAGTCCTTGCTCCTGGGGACTTGGAGATGTGTGGAAATGCTGGAAATGCAACTCATTAGAAACAGAAGTGGGAGGTTCATTAATACAAATGGTGCAAATAATTTCTGTGATCTTCTGAGATCACAAACCAACATTCAGCACCCCTCAAAATAAATGAAATAATGAAAGGCATTTCCCAAAAAAACTTCCACTTCAAGTACACGTATTTTTTCCTGAGAAAGTGCTTGATATTAAGCAGTGCCCTACTTTGACAGGTATGAAATAAAACTGGTTATTAATTTTCAATACTGATGGGAAAAGGATTAACTGAGCATGTCGTTCTTTCATTAATCATTTCAGAATTAAACAACCAAATACAGCTCTTAGATTGCTTTTTGAAAGGATGTAAAAATAAATGAAAGTCCATTCTAGCAACATTATAAGGAAGTGGGTGTTGAATCAAGCCCAGTGACAACCCCAGTAAATCAGAATGATTTCTACATCTCAGGTCTACCATTCTATCCTTTAAAAATAAATAGAGAAAGCATAAAAACCTGTCAGTTCAAGGGAAGGAAACCTTAATTGCTAACACTTGCAAAAAGAAGTATTTTAGTTTTGTCTTCAGTAGCTTTGAAATAGAGTGTTTGCACCCATTCCCAGTGCCAGAGGTGATTTCAGATTGGGGGTGACCCCTCTGAATAAGCTCCCTGGGAGCTGGAATTACCTCCAGGATGGCAGCAGACATCCCCTCTGAGATGGAGCTGTTCACCACGGCAAAGCTTCTCCTGACAGCGGCGTGCAGCTCCTGCTGGGGCAGCTCCTGCAGCACATGCACCCCAGGGAGCCTGCAGAGAAATGCAACAGAACTCCTCCTGAGCCAGCAGGAAAGGAATCCTGACAAGCCCCAGAAGAACTGATGGGATTCTTCCCTCTGGAGGGGAGGCACTGGAACTGCCCAGAGCTGCTCTGGATGTTCCATCCCTGGCCATGTCCGAGTTGGACGGGGCTTGGAGCTGTCCCTGCTCATGGCTGGGAGGGTGGAACTGGATGATCCTCCCAAAAAAACCCTTCCACAATTCTTTGAGTAATAAATCTAACTAAATCAGAGTAAATCAGATGTGATTTAGCACAGAGCATGAACATACTGGTTATTCTGAAATTTTAAATGTTTGGAATACCTAGTCTGGGACTGCTCCATGCCAAATAATCCCAACAGATTTGTCAGTCCCACAGAGCTGTGCAGGGACACTCATTTGTACAGACACCATTTTACAAGGGGCAGCCAACTGCTTTCATTCAGCAGACAGAAGCTTTAACATCAACTTCTTACCTTTTAACCTTCTCCTTAACTTCACTGCTAAAAAGGGGATCAACCTAGAAATGAGCACACACAGAGCTTCAGCACTGCAGCTTATGTTTGAAACACACAGAAATAAAAGTTTAGCACATTTTTTAGCTGAAATACTTGAAAGGCTGAGCTTTAAGATCATAGCACAGATCTGTTAGTTGGCTGTCTCAAAGCTGGTGTGACTCCTGAGTGAGGGGCAGGGCACTGAGGTACCCAGGGACTGTCCCTTCATTGGAGTAAAATGTGCCTCAGTGAGCTCAGGAAGCAACCTGGACAGAAACTGAGACACTCACATGGATGCTGTGCTCTGGCAGAAAGAGTTGTTGGAAATCCAATAAACAAAATTCCCAACCCCAGTATATCATAAACACAGAATTCCCAACTCCAGTAAATAACAAACACAAAATTCCCAGTCCCAGTAAATAACAAACACAAAATTCCCAGTCCCAGTAAATAACAAACACAGAATTCCCAATCCCAGTAAATAAAGACAGAATTCCCAGCCCCAGTAATTGCCATGCCCACATGCAGGCAGGCTGCAGTTATTAAATGCTGTCTAAGCTGGGTGATTTACTCCAGTAGGTTTATTTACAAAGCTCAGCTCTCTCTGCTGTTTTCATTTAGCATGATTAAAAGAACTTGAAAATCCTTAGCTAGACATGAAGAACAGAACTCAACTTTTTTTATTAAGGCTGACTGGCTATATTAGATTGATACATGATAGCTTGCAGGGAATAATGTGACTTTTTAGTGTATATTAATATTTTGGGTTTGGTTGCTGGGTTTTGTTTCAGATTATGAAACAGAGAACACTCCCAAATTGTTTTAGGAAACACTTTTGGTAAAAAGTCAGGATTTATTTTGTAACTATGGCTGTATGCCTTGAACACAAAATTGATTATTTTATGAAAACTGGGCTTCATAAATGGAAATATTCAGGTGAATCACTCTTGTACTAAGGAATGAATTCCTACTGAATACAAAAAATAAAAGCCTTGCTTAACTGCTTAAAAAAAGTATTTTTGCTATTTCATAATGAACTTCCAATTGCTATTTCTATATAAATACATTTTCAGCTTCTTCCCCAAGAAGCTCTATTTTGATGTTGTGTTCCTCTCATGAGGAGCCACCTCTGTTTCCATTAAAATCCATGGAGTTCTTGCAAGTGATTTAATGAGCAGTGGGACAAGGTCTTGTGTTCTTGTCCCTTTAGAAGGATCAGAAGAACTACAGCCTGTGGCTCCTCACATTGGTCAGATGTTCATTCCTGTCCCTCTGCTCCAGTGGAATCCAGGCAGTCCCATCAGCCTCAGAACCAGCTTTGAGCTGTGTCCTTCTGCTGTCAATGGTCCAAGAATCCTGCTCTGAAATTGAGAACTGAGCTACAACATTGATGCCAGGGTGGGGATGGAGGGGTGATGGCCCTGAGCTGTGTTTGGGGTCTGGGATCAGGCTCAGTCCTGCAGGAGCTGCAGCCAGCAGGAGCTGCTCTCTGAGCTGGGAACGTGCTGGGACCATGGGAGAGCTCCCAAAGCCTCTGCCTCTGGCAGGGGGCTGAGCACAGGCACCCAAAACCATCCTGAAAACAACATTCTCATACCCAGGCACCCAAAACCATCCTGAAAACAATGTTCTTCTGCCCAGGCACCCAAAACCATCCTGAAAACAATGTTCTTCTGCCCAGGCACCCAAAACCATCCTGAAAACAACATTCTCACAGCCAGGCACCCAAAACAATCCCAAAAACAATGTTCTTCTGCCCAGGCACCCAAAACCATCCCAAAACCAACATTCTCCCACCCAAAACATCTCCAGCACCCAGCTGCAGCGTTTGTGGCCACGTTTGTTGATAGAGCAGGCAAATGCACCCATCAGTTCCCAACCATTTGCTAAAGCATCCTTTATCACATTTATCACATTTATCACATTTATCACATTTATCACATTTATCACATTTATCAGCCTGGCAGAGGTCAGAGGAAAGCAGCTGGAGCTGGTCAACAGTTCCTGTCACAGCAGAACAGACAGGGCCATGGGCACCCCCAGCCAGGTCCAGCTGGGCCATTCAGGGAGTTTTACTCTGCTGACAGGGAAAGAAACATCCAGGATGTGTTTGGCAGTGCAGGAAGTCAAATCAAAGATCAAATGCTGCTCAAAGATGAAGGGGCCTGTTGAGCACAGAGCCTGCCATGATCAAAACCAGCAAAGCTTCTATAAACACACAATATTAAAATGCTGCCATATAAATATTCACTCTGACTGAAATAATGGTCTGGGAACATCTTTATAGTGCTGAGGCTCCAGACTTTGTAGGGGAAAACAGGTCTCAGTACATTTAAAATCCTGTCAGAGTGTCACCAGAGTACTACAAGTGAAAAGGCTGAGGGATCTGCAGAGATATTTAATGTGGAGAGGAAGAAATTGCTCATTTTCTCAGGTTTCTGAGGTTTTGGCAGCACAAAACCAAAGGAATCCCCTTTTACTGGAGCAGCAGGTGACCCCACACCCCAGCGCTTGTCTCTGATGGGACAGTGTTCTGTGCTGCCCACTATTTATTATTTATTATTTATTATTTATCATTTAGCCCAATAATGGCTAAAAACACCCCAAAATGAGCTGGGAGAGCTCACCCAGAAGCTGAAAGCTTTAAACAAAACTTGAAAGTTTTGTGGCCTTAACTTTTTTTAAAGTTTCATAAGCTCCTATTCTTGGAATATGGAGCTGCTGAAAATTAGCTGCTGTTCCAAATTTCATTATAGAAATGAACAAAAGGAAAACTCTTAGTGGAGACAAATGGTGAAAGTTTTACATAACACAGGCCTCAACCCTGCAACATTACCTGGATTGCACCATTTGAGACAATCATGCAGAGAAAATACAGGCAATAATATATAATCTTATGGCAGCAAATAGATCATCTCATGGAGGTAAAGCAGAAAATAGAGTGTGGGCCTTTGTTCTTCCTCTTCTTAATTAATATACTCTTACTGCACAGGCTTTTAATATTCACAATAAAAATTACATGCTTCATAGATGGTGACACTGATTTTCTTAAGATTTCTGTGCTTTGAGAAGCAACATGAATAAGAAGAGTACAGCTAAATACCAATAGAGCTGAGATGTGTTTTTTTTTTAATTTAGCAATATTTTAGTTCCATGAGAGAAATATGCTTTAAGATGTTTTAAGAAGGTTCAGCCCCTGATCCAGCCTGGGTGCTGCCACGGGGTTATTTCTGCTCTGTAAAGACATTAGCTTATAAAAAAGTGAAGCAAATTTAAGAGGATGACTAAAATGTTTAAAATCCTCACTGGAGGCAGCGAGTGCATCTTTGGATTCCAAGGCACAGCTTCATTCCACCTGCTCTAGATTTGCCTTCCACACCAGTTCACTTCCCAATCATTTTGTGCATTTGCGTGGAAAAAACCCCAAATAAAATAAAAAACGTAAAAAACAGCTTTTAACAAAATAATCCTATGTCCCAAAATTTACAAAGAATAAAACTGAATGAGAAAACAGAGAAATTGTTCTTATTTGCCTGTTGAGAGTCTATTTGGGTTTTGTATAAAGCAAGTTTTCAGGCTGGTGTGGGGATGAATCAGAGATGAGACTGATCCAGAGGGATCACATTGCCCAGATGGAACAGGGCAGCTTTTAGCCCCCTTCAAGCAGCAGTGAGAGTTTATTTAACATGACCCAGCTGCCTCCTCAGACCTTTCCCACTGCTTGAACCGAGGCTCCAGGCTGCCCTTCCCAGCCCTGTGCTGCAGGATCCACGTGGAGAACACGGATTTGCACTGAGTTCTGTAGTTTTAGCTGCACAGGCAGCACACAGAAGCAGAGGAATCACGACAGAGGGACCAACTTGAAGATTATTCTGAGATGGGGATGTATAAAAAACCTGTTTATCCAGGCTTTGGTGCACTGAGACTCTGCGTGGAAAAGGAGCTGGGCTGGTTTTGTCAGCTGGAGCTGTGTCCTTGCTGCCAGGTGTCAGACAGAGCCTGAACATCATTTTGCACCTGCTGGCAGCTGTTAATTGTGCACAAAGCCAGGACTGAGCCCAGACCCCCAGGAATGGCATCAAAGCCCAGATGGAACAAGGACCCAGGGCTCCACGTGAACCAAAGATGTAAGGACAGGGATAATGAGCATCTGAGGCACCTTCACAGCATTCAAAATCCTCATTAGCAATGCCTGTGCAAGAAAATTCTCCTGCCTTTCAAAACATTTGATAGGTTCATTTCTAAGCCATCCCTATTGAAACAGGCATTGCTAAAAGTTCACCTTCGAGGAGTTTGTGAGCATCTAACATCCCACAGGTGTAACAGCAGTAGCCAGGAGTAGAATCCAAGTACTTTGATGGTTTTTGATGGTTTTTCTCCTCAGTAGTCCTTTCTGGAGTGGGAGGAAGTGAGGGAACAGAGCTGGGCTGCCCTTGGAGCTGCTCCCCCTGCAGTGCAGGAGCCCTTCCATGGACAGTTCTCAACTTTGCAACTCTGGAATCACTTCCACACTTCAGTGGGAGCTGGGAACAACCTTTACAGGCTCTAGGTTTGTACCTTGTCTCCTTAACAGAAACCCTCTGACCTAGGTGCAGTTTGGAGCAGAGCAGTGGTATCTCAGATGCACATAAATGGAAATGTTTAAAAATAAAAATTACTTACTGCAGGTCCAATAATGCCCAGATGGACACTGGGATCCTTTCTGTGCCAGTCTGAAACAGAAGATGAACAACTATTTTATTAATAAAAACTATTACATTTTAAAATCAGTATAAATAGCTCCATGATTAAAGAAGAATCAGACAAATATTGTATTGCTACTTAAAAGACTGAACATGCACCAGATTCCATGCTCAGCCCTCTCATTACCCCTCAGAATTCAAATATTAGCATATCTGAAAGTTAGCATTTAGCCTTTCTGCTTCATGCAATCTCTTCTGACTCAAGGGTTATTTAACTAAGCTCAGATATTAATTTTGAATCACTCAAGAGAACAATGCTCTGTATAATGCAGTGACTCTGGCCACTAAGCCAAAATTGAATATTTTCCTGTGTAAAGGAACACGTGGAACTGACTGCAGCCATCACAATCATTGCTCAGTAAAATGCACAAGAGAAACCAGCTGCTCTGAATCCCAGCAGGTAACAATGCAAACCACCATTTGTCACTCAGCATCACAGGGTTTAAAGGGTTAAAAAAGTCAGTGAAATCCTGCTAAACCTCCAGAATGCTTGAGCCTTTTACAGACACAAACAGAGCCTGACAAAATATTCCCTTCTGTGACTGTGAGGAAACTTCAGCCCAGCCTGAGCACCCAGCCAGAACAATGGGTGGCAAAATTTGTTTGCAGCTTCAATGGCATTAATTAGCACACATGCAAATCAAGCTAACAGCCACGGGACAGCAAGATAAAAAGTTATTTTGAAGTGAATGATCTTTTCTTTTGTCTTCCATCAATATTGCATGTAACAGCAAAACAGTTTTCTCAGCAAGTGAAACCATCAAATGTTGCTTTGATTGGAATGCTGTGTTATTCCCAGCATTGTAAATATATGTAAATATTCAGTGACGTTTCCTGCAATGAATAAAAGAGCTCCTGCCAAACTTGGAGACGTTAAAAGAATGCACTGAGTGACAAAACAAGAATATTCAAATGGCCACTCCTTACCTGAGAAAACTTCTACTAAATACAGAGGGTCCTTGACTCTTCGGAGCCCACACACCAGAAGAAACAGATGTAAACTGTCTGTGTCTGTGGGAATGTCTGCAACAAAGAATTGTAAAAGTAATTCATTAATGCTGATAAAAAAGCTGAACAGTCCAAGTGGTTCTGTGAATGAGCTTGTACAGTGGTAAAAGCAGTAAAAGAGTGGATTATGAAAAATTATTCCTTGTTTCTTGCTCTTGCATCAATCCTCAGACTGAGGATTTAAATCATTTTATATTTGTGTTTATCTCCAGAGGCAGTGAATGTGCAGGACTTGCAGTAAAGTCTGGTGTTCCTGGACACCAGAACCAGCTGTGAGGGCGCTGAGCAGCTCTGGGTGGCTCTCAGCGGTTTTAATCCTAAAAAAGAATAACTTTGCATCCATTTAATAACTCCCCCCCTATTTCCAGGTGTGGGATTTGGTTATTCAGGCGTAGAGCTCTCTGACACTTTCTGTAAAGATCAGGAAATGCCCCACAGTTCTCAATCCCTGCGTGCCAGCACTGCTACAGAACAAAATACAAGTTCCATTATTTATTTTACACTTACTGCTAAAACACAGATGAAAAATAACTCGGGGGAGAAAAAGCCTCAGCATGGGAACTTTTGAAAATCTCTTCCACATACACAGCAACAACTCATGTCTGCAGGCTTCCATGGGAAAAGGAGGATGCTGCATTCCCCTGGGCTCTGTGGCAGGACCATTAACTCAGGACATTCTGTTCAGGGCTCACCTCGAGATGAGCTTTGCTAAAACGTGCTTGTGATAAAACACAACCCAAACCTGCAGACTGAACTCAAACAACAAGTTAATAAACACTGGAGGGCTTGGAGTGTTCACATTTGATTTGCTGCACTGAACCAATCGGTTTGGTGTCCTTCAGTTCAGCCCCTTCTGCAGCTCCTGGATTACCCAACACTGCTCTGCTGCAGGGTCAGAAATGTGCTTTTAAAGTTTAAAAGCAGCTCAGGAACATTGAGATTCTCCCTGTCACAGGGTTCATTACTGAGTCTATTTCATTCAACTTAAAACAACCCTGAGTTGTCACAAGGGGCTGCAGCAGATATGGTAAATAACATTTTACTGCTTATTGGACCAAGAAATAATTGGCAGTTTATAATACACAAACATTTGGGTTGGAAAAGCCATTCTTGTGGTGCAGTGGGCCATTAACACTGCGTGGTCTCAGACATGCAGCAGTGCTCTGCACACAAAACAAACTATTAAAAAGCATTACCAAAATTCAGACTTCACTGCTGCTGTCCCATGGGGCACAAACACCCATTTGGAATTATGGACTCCCCCTTACTGATGCTGAGCTCTGGCTATTTGGAAACAAAACGTGGAGTTAGTGCTGAAAGTCACACAGGAGGAGGAAACCAGGTTTTCCTCTTCTCACATGGAGACCATAGAATTACCGCACTCTCAAAATAACTGCCCTTTTTTATGTCTTACCAGCTTTTTGTTTCTATCTTACAGCTTTCAGACTTTTATTAGGTAAGGGTTTAAAGCCCTATTAGTCCAGTTCTGTGCAGCCCTGGCTGCCATTCTGCTCCCTGAGCCCAAAGAGAAAGAGGGAGCTGCTCCCACAGCCATTCAGACTTTTCCATTCTAAGGCACCTGTCCCAAGAATCTCATCAATTACAGCCCAATTGCTACCGTGGAATGACCTAAAGTAATTCTCATTAATGCAAACAGCTCACTCAGCTGAGCTGTCTCACTTTGGAAAGACACATTGCTCACAGCAGACTCTGCCCCTGGTGCAGCTCCCAGAGCCCACCTGGCTCAGGATGCTCTGTGCTCTCTGAACCAGCAGCTGTGGCTGCAGCCTGCATCCCACATGGATCTGACCTTGGCAGGAAGGGCTGCTCCAACAGGATTTGTCTCTGTGCAGTGGATGAGGATCTGCTGTAGATTTATTTCGTTGTCTGCAGTGGATCTCAGCCATCCCCCAGCTCATTTTCACAGGCAGCCTTTCCCCCTGGATCCACCCAGAGCTCTGTGTGCCCACGTGAGACCGAGCTCCAGCAGCACCTGTGTGCCCTGCTCACCTTCTGCCCAGCCCTGGAATGCTGAAATTCCCTCCTGGTGCTCTCTGCAGCCCTGCTGGGAAAATCCCACCCAACAAACACCACTTGTCCCTGCAAGCAACAATTTCAGGAGGCTCTGTCCTCTCTGAGAGCATCTGAAGAGCAAAGGCTGCCCTCCCAGCCACAGCCACAGCTGGCTGAGAGCTGCCCTTTGGAAAAGACATTTTTACTTTTTCCTTCAGCTTGAACAAGACTTCAGTATGTGAGTTTTTGCTACCATTCTGCCTTTTGCAGATGTAATAAGATGCTACCAGCTCGTGTGATTGTGAAATGGAAACACATCAGCATGGCACAATCAAGTGATTTTCTCTTTCAGTACATTCCCTGTGCCACTATCTTGTTTGAATGACAGGCAAACACCCAAATAACAAAAAAATCCTTCAGTCCCTTTCTCCCCATTTCTGCTAGTGACACAAAAGCAAAGATCTCCAGCAGCACGCTGTGCTTTCACTATCTCTTCCCTCATGTATCTTCCTGTTTGCCTGACAAAGAAACACAAAATGGAAAGATTTGTACATAAACCCTGGCAATTAAAAAATAAAATTAAATAAAGACTGCATGGCACGTGTTTTCCAGCCATCCCTCAAGATCCACTCTACACTAAACACAAGTGAAGCCCAGGCACAACAACATCTCTGTAACCAACACCTCTGTCAGTGTCAGAAGAATTGTTTGGAGTCAGTGTGGCTGTGAACAAAAGCTGTCAGGGTTTGTCTGTGGCTCTGCTCTGCTCTCTTGGCTTTCCCTGGGACAAACAGCTGGCACAGCCAGGAGCAGGGATGGACAGGAGTGAGAGTGGTCACTGCTGTGTCCCCAGGAGCAGGGATGGACAGGGAATGGTCACTGCTGTGTCCCCAGGAGCAGGGATGGACAGGGAATGGTCACTGCTGTGTCCCCAGGAGCAGGGATGGACACAGATGAGCTGCAGGAGCTGGGGCACAGCCCTGCTGAGCAGAGGGATACTGCAGTGCAGAACAGGAGGGCATTGCCACAGGAGAACTGGCATTGCCACAGGAGAACTGGCATTGCCACAGGAGAACTGCTCATCACATCAACAATTTCACTGCTGCCACAGGAACACAACCATGGGAGCACTCGGGGAGGAAAAGCCCTCCAAGGTCCCAGGTCCAGCCATCACCCCACGGCCATCAGCCACATCTGCACATCCCTCCAGTCCCTCAGGGTGCAGAAATTCTCCCAATTTCCAATGTAACCCTGCCCTGGCACCACCTGAGGCCATTTCCTCCTCACTGGAGAGAGCAGGGCTGTGACACACTGAGAGTTTACACCTGGGCCATTATAAAATCCTGCACAGCACCACACCAACACAGACAGCAAACACAAAAGCCTGAATAATTTCTGAAGCTTCAGCAGGGACCTCGTTTTTCTAAGAAAGGCAGGAATAAGTACAAGTGTTATCTAAAGAGATTTTGAAAGTGTAGAGTCATTTAACTCCATCCCTCCAGGTACTATCAGGAAAAAAAATGCAGCAGTCATAGGTGCACAATAAAAATAAATGTATTACTGCAAATCTTTAATCTTACTGAAAGCTGCAGGCCTGGAAGTGAATGAGTAATACCAAGCATTAGCTTGCTCAGAGGTAAAGAAGAAGATTTAAAAATTAATTTTCCAACCCCTGATTTCAAGTTCACTGTTGTGCTCTACAGACCTTTAGAGAACAACACCAAGTCCACGTTATTTGGGCTTATTCATCCATTTCTGGTTTTGTTCAGAAACAAAATGTTAGCCACGATGAGATGGGGAGGGGAAATCACCTTATTTTCTTTTCTGGTCACTTTGAACCACAGCAGGTCTTTTCATTTATCCATTTCTATTTCATTTATCCACCTCCTGAGCACCTGAAAGCATTGACTGCTCTCCTCAAGAGGGACATCCATAGGTTTTATAGATGAGATTTCAGTCTTTTAAGACAACGATTTTATTTTCTTGAGCATGAAAATGGATAAATTTGTCCAACTGCGGCACAAACCTTTGACACTCCAAATCTTTCAATTCATAGCTTTTCTTGAGTTTTTCTCCCTGCACACTGAGGAAATGCCTTCCCTTGGCCCCTGTGGTCCCTTGGCACTGGAGTTTGGGTTTGTGTCTGTGCTGGCTCAGCCCAAGGTGCTCAGCCTGGGGTGGAGGGGTCCTGCTGCAGCTCCCCTGCCCATCCTGACTCCAAACGGGGCTCAAATCCCTGCTGACACACAAATGCCATCAGAGACCCAACCAGCCTTGATTTCAGCAATGCACCTGCAGATCTCAAACATTTCTGTATGAAAGGTTCTGCATTTCACTTCACAAAGCAGCTCAAGGGGCAGTGCAGGCAGTAACTTTACCCCAAGTGTTCACACCCAGCAGTGAGGATCTGCTGGGGCTGCTGATGTTTGTGGAGGCAGAGAAGGTCAATGAACCTGGAAACTTCCAGGGACAGGCCACTAATCCAGGAAAACTAGACTGCAAAATTCTCAGTCAATTCTTCTCCCATTTCTCATTATTTTTTAACAGATCAGACAACAATAAAGCTCTGTGTTTTTGGATCAGTTTGGGAACTCAGTTTATCGCTGCCATCATACAATTTTTACCGTGGGCAGCTGTCTGAGTGCACTTTTACTGTTCAGTTTTTCTTATCCAGGTCCCTCCTTCCAGCTCAGCTTTAGGAAAATCTAATGCCTCTGTAAAACCCTGCCTGTGTCATGACAGGTTATGTAAACTTCTCAAGCTCAGAGAACAGCCGTGCTATGAAGCAGAAATTACATGAGAGCTGAAAAATCAAACTACAAAAGCATCCAGCATCTTTTGGTGTGCAATAAGCACGTGAGCCTGTGGTTGCAGGCCACCTCCCAGGAAAGCAGCTCTGAGTCCTGTCTGCTGGCTGAACACACATTTCTCAGTGAATCATGCAGACTTTGTTAGTTATCTGCATCTTCTCATCACATGGTGTTTATTAGGGTCTGTATCTTCCAAGCTCCAGCCCCATTCCAGTGAAATCAAAAGGAGCTTTGTATCCTGGAATGATGACATCAAGTCTGTGATCACAAACAGCTCTGCCCCAGCCCTGAGCTGTTAGAGGAGATCAGTCTCAGGTTTCTCATTTATTTAAACTGTCTTGTCATTTTCTGTCAGTCAATTCACAGCAAAGGCTGAACCCTTGCTGACTCTCTCAAGTCTATAGATAGGGCTTCTAAAATTGCTTTAACCAAGCTGATTGTGCTCTATATAGATCCCTGCAATGTAAGGTCAGAGAAAAACAGTTTGATCATCTGGTCTGATCTCCAGGCTGACACAGGCAGCAAAACTTCCTGAAATAGGCTGGGTTACCCAACAGGCTGAAAATGTTGTGTTCCTGGAGCCTGTGCTGAGATCTGCACTCGCTTCAGCCTTTTGGTTTGGCTGCTGCTGCTCACAGTCTCTCATGCACAGAAGGCAAACTGTGAAGTTGACTGTGAACCACAATGCAGAAGAACTCTAAAAGCCCCTGGTTTTTAAGATTTAGCCAGTGAATGCTGGTTAGCCAGCCCCTGGAGCTACTGCAGCTACAGCAACAACCCCACGCCATCACCTCCACAACTCTCAGCTCTGCTGCTGAGACTATGAAAAAACACTAATTCCAGAATTTTTGCACTGAGATTGTACTGCACCCATAATAGTAACAACAAAAACCTTTCACAGCACTGCTTCCATTTGTGTTATTCGATTTATTACTATTATATTCTATTCCTGTGTAATTCTGTTTACATTAGCACCCAAGCTATCAAATGGGACGTACAAAAAAAGCTGGGATTCCTTAGTTTGGTTTAGTACCAATCAAATTTGGGGGCTGGAAGTCTCCCACCATAAAATGCATTTGGTGCATTCTGCCACTCACTTAAAGCTCCCATTAAATTCTTTTTGAAGCTGTTACATTGATTTAAAGAGGCTGTTTATGTACTGGTGTCATATTCAAAGTGAGCAAATGTTTCCTCTGACCGAAAAGAAAATCAGTACAAAGAATATTGGTAGGAAGTCTGTTCTGTGGGAAAAAGTCAGGAAGCATTCTGAAGATTCTGTTTCACTGAGAGAATAACCTGACACCCTGACCACTGAGGGTGTGTGACAGCAATGCCTCGAGTGCATTAAAACCTGCACTGCAGGGCGTGGCTCCTCCTGTGCAGCCTGAATTTATCAAACATTCAGGGGTTCTGCTAAAAACACAGCCAGGGCTTAACTGGAGAAATATTTCTCCCCCAAAAAATCATTAACGCCTTCAGACATGGAACAGAGCTAAATGAAAAAAGCCTTAAAAAGAAGATGAGAAATGCCAGGAGCTGAAGGAGACCGGGCAGCTTGGTCTGCATTACAGCTCAGGCTCTTTCCAAGCACACATTGTGCAAGGCCACACTGCCAAAACCTTCTGAGCAAAACTGCCTCCTGCTTCTCAGAGTTTCCTTCTGCTTGCTCCACACTCAGTAGAATTTTAAACGCTTTGGAACTGCAAATGCCCAGAAAAAAAAAAGCAATTCGCTGGGAACTCCTAATTAGTCCCTGGACAGCACAAAGGTACAGCCAAAAACCTGATTCCATGTGCAGTACTGAAAGAAGTGGAAATTGTAGGCTGCCACCAGAGATGGACATAGGCACAGGGAAGAGAAGGCAAGTGAGATGAAACATTCATAAAAACAATACTGAATAATCTGGTGCCAGTTTTCAAGTTATTATTTAATAAGGCACAGATGTTAGAGTCACATTTTAGTTTGCTTTTCCTGTACATTATGAATTATTTTGCACTTTTGCATTAGTACACATTAGGCAAAAAACTGTTTCTAATATATTAGAAATTCACTTTAGGGGGAGCTTCCCCCTCCTCAATCTGTTGACTACTCATTTAATCACAAAATGGTTGGACAAGAGATCAAATCAACACTCAGGCTGTGCTAGCAAGTGACAAATCATTTCACTTCAGAAAATTATTAATCTTAGTGGCACTGTGCTTGTGGGCTGTGATTTACTGAAAACAAAATAACCTCACAATGCTCAATTTAAAATTGACACTGGCTTTGACTAATGGCACGCATTTCCTGATGTGATAATGCCATTGACTGCTGAGGATTCATTTGTAGCAGAGGGAACAGCTGGAGTATCAGAGATCAGGCTGATGGATGTAAAACTGAACCGTTTTTACCAGGGTAAAATGCCTATAAATCATTCTTTTGGGGGAAATGAAGTGACTGCAGCGTTGCCACGATCAGGTGACTCGGAATTGGGTCCCCTGCCCTACCTGCCACAGGTGCCAGCAGAGCCAGGCTCTGGCTCATCAGCAGATAATCCAGCAGCAGCACACGGCTCTGCTCAGCAGGAGCAATCCATCCTCTCCTCCTGCTCCCCTCTGCAGGCAGCCCTGGCTTGTGTCACCCACAGCGTGCTCAGGGCTGCTGCTGTGCCCTGAATGAACCTCTGGGGACACTGGGGACACTGGGGACACCCTGGGGACACCCTGGGGACACCCTGGGGACACCCTGGGGACACTGTCCCGCAGGCTGGGATCACCTCTGCTGCAGCCAGGCCAGGAACCAGTCTGGGCACTTGCTGAGCCAGACTCATCTGACTGACATTCTGCCATCTTCCATATCATTAAAACACTTTTTTACATAATTCAACTCTGATTCTGTGTTTCTTTCATCCTTTCCACCTATTAGGAATAAACACAGGGGAAAAAAATGAGTTTTACCTGCATTTTGTAGAAATCTGTACCAGTCAAATGTTTTGCTGGGTGTAGTCTTAATTCCTGTGTAAAAAATAAAAGAGACTCCCATGTTTAATGTCCCCTGGATGGCTGAGCTGTGCTTCCTGAAGGAATAAAATAAAAATAAAATTAAAATAAAATAAAAATAAAAATAAAATAAAAAATAAAAATAAATAAAAATAAAATAAAATAATAAAATAAAAATAATAAAATAAAATAAAATAATAAAATAAAAATAATAAAATAAAAAAAATAAAATAAAAAATAAAATAAAAAATAAAAATAAAATAAATAAAATAAATAAAATAAATAAAATAAAATAAATAAAATAAAATAAAATCTCCACACACAGCTACCAACACATGAAACACAGAAATCAAATGTCTTCATCACTATTTCAAAGCTCTCACCTTGACTCTGGACATATATTTTCTTCCTAGCATCTGGCTTTAAAGAGAAAGAAGGAAAATAACTTTCAGAGTTCAACATAAAAATATTGATCTTCCAAAAAAATAAAAGCACAATAAAGAGTAACAAAACACATCAGTGTGATTTTCTTTTGACTATTAAAAATCAAAACAACCTACTAGCTACATTAAGTAACTCCAGAAGTCAACAATGTAATTTACATTTCCTATGTCCATTTACGGTACCAATGAATCAATTTTGCAATTAACACAATTACCAAGTTAGTGCAATTACCTTTTTTAGTTTGGCTCTGTAACCTTTCTCATGACCATTATCCTATTTTCCTGGAATAAAACAAATTTCAACTGTCTAGCTGAAAATCAGCTCTAGTTCCCAAAAAGCTGTTGGTCTTGAAAGACTGGTTTTGAAAATCCAGTTTACATTTATCCATAATACAATTTATAAATGTACCAGTTTCAGAAACTGCTGTCAAATATAGAGGCTTGCCTAGACAGGAAAACTGGTGCCTGGTAGTTATTGCAGAACATTCACAAATAAAAATTGCAAAATAAATTACTTTAAAATAGCTGTAGTAAAAGAGGTAATTACTACACTTCCAAAATCACTCCTGAAGTGCTGCTCTGCTAGTTATTTAATTTGGGTGATTAAAGAAGCAATTTCCTATTTCAATATCTTTCTATTACTCCAACTGTGGATTTGTGGAATACTTTTTTTTTTTAAATGAAAAGAAAATCAATTCAGAAACAAACTTCCAAGCTTGAACCAGTCAGCTCAGGAAATAGGAAGCCACAGAAGTGATTTTTCTTTTTAACTTGCGGAGATTTTGGTTTTCCCCCTCGTTCCTTTGTGGCTGCCCCTCAGTCCCCTGCCCCAGCACCGCAGTTACTAAAAATGAGCTGGGAAAAGAAACTGGAAGAAAAGAGGTGACTTGAAAAGTCATCTCCAAGCAGCTCACAGATGGGAAGGAGGTGGTTTGTGAGAATCAGAGTGAACAATGTCACCAAAACGACCCCAAAAAAGCAGCAAATCCACTTGGGAATGATCTGGGGGAAGCAGCCCTGTGCTCCAGCGGGAGCCTGAGCACATTCCATGAAGTTTATCCTCCTTGGGCTTTTGTGTTCAAAGGATTAAAAAACAATAAAAATGGTTTAATGCATTATTCCATCACACTTCTCTGACCAACATTTGAATTACACAAAGCATGGACCCCAAAGGGCTCAGGGGGTCAATCCAATCCTGGCAGGGCTTGGATCATCAGGGAGGAAACAGGAATACTGGGGGACAGGGCATGGAGATGTACTCACGCTCTAGATCCATTTTCTCTTCCTTCTGCCTGATTTTAAATGGGCTTGAGCAGAATGGCAAATGGAATTTTGTGCTGCCAACACTGGCTTGGGTAATTCTTCTGCACTGGTTTGAAATAAAACACTGACCACGAGCACAAGATCTTTTACAGGGCTTCAAACTCAGGTGGAATACAGATTGTTACAAGGGCTGGACTACATGTTTCATAATTCAGGGTAATTTATCCAATGTAATAGAAAAGAATTTGTTGGAAGAGGCAGCCTTTGAGTACAGTGCAACTGCTTACATGTTTGTAATTTAAATTCTTACCTGCCTACCCTAACTAACTACATCAGAGGAATAAGGCAGCTCCCAGCAGTGTGAGCTAATGGGTAAAAATCATTAATATCCCACGAGCTGTGTAAGGGAGGATGAGCTCGTGTTCCTCACTGCTTGGAACCAAATTTGTGACATTGGCTCTCAGCCTTTACACAGAGACCCAGCAGAACAGGAACTCCAACCCTCAGCATTTCAGCAGGTGGGATTCCAGTTTAGGATGTGACAGATCTGCCTCCAATTCCCTGTCTGCCACAGACCTCCAAAACACTGAATTGGTGTCACAGGCCCCGAGCACAAAGGTGTTTAAGTAAAATCAGAGTCTGGTACTTAAAAGTATTTGAGGTGCTGATTTTAAAATGATTTCAAAGCTCAATTTTGTTTCTTCTCCTTACACTCTGTCACTTTTGTCCTTTTTTTTGCTTAATATCTCTGACAGAAGCTGTGCCCTTTCACATTTACCCATTGTGAAGTTCATTGTAGTAACTCTTAAAATCAAATTACATCTGTAAAATAAAATACCAAATCCCATGTCTGCTCATGTATCCTTTCAATGCAAATAGATTTTAAAAATCAATTTATGTTGAAATAAGGTATTGTATATCCTACTGCTGTGTTGTGCAAGCTCCACTCTCAGTGATTATTTTTTAGGCAAGAGCGCATTAATGATTATACCTTGATGCAGATCAGAACTGAAGGGGTACCAAGCATTTTGTTCCACCTTGCATTAATTGTTCAGCTTCATCTGATTTTCCTGGGGTGAGTGGAGCCAACAGCTCGCTGCAAGAGGAGCTCCTGCCTTGCTGCTTTCATCCCAAATGGTTCCTGCTCACCCCTCCCTGCATTTCAGCAAATCCAATTCACCTCAGGAAGTTCATTCTGTTTCCAGAGTTGACAAAACAAGTATTTTCAAATTACACTTCCAAATTCTTTATTATAACTAATGCTGTCTGGAGGAATTTTGTAAATGTGAAGTTTAGTAAGTGATGCAAAAAGAAACAATTTGGCATCAGGGGAGACTGGGTAACAAGGAGTGATTTGTTTTAAATGTGACAGAGAAACATTTCCTAAACTGTTCTGCTCTCTCTTCTAACGCTGAGCAGCTTTCAGTGCCAGACTGAAGCCCATCAACACAAAAAAGGAAAAGCAGGACTGGTCAGAGTGAAGGCTACTGCAATTCTCCAGCCCTGTTTGGGATCTGCTCCCAGCACAAAACCTACCCACTCTGCTGCTGCCAGCTCCTTCATTTCCACCGAGAAAGCCACTGCAAACCTGGGGAAACCGACAAAAATAGTTGGGATCATCTGCTTAAAGTGTTTTAACATAAAAAAAAAGCACTTCAGATAAAATCTTGATAAGAACTAAGATCAGAGGCTTATAAACCTGATCCCAGATGAAAGACAGAAAGCTGGCTTTCCTCTTGCTTCAGCAGAAAATCGTGCTTAAACCCACGGCAGCTCCCCAGGCCTTGCAACTCCGAGCTCCTGGGAAGGTGAAGTGAGGATTTCTCTGAGCAAGAGAAACCCCAAATAACGGGGACAGTTCAGCCAGGTTAATGCACAGAGCTGCAGCAGGAATCCTGAGCTCCTGCCCCACTGCAGAGCCCTTCTGACACCACAACACAGCCCAGGAGGGAGCTGAGCTGCTCTGCTTCCATGCTCTGACAATTCCAGTGCCACTGCCTGCAACAGAGCTCAATGCAAATGAAGATTTTAAACCTTTCCCCATGTCCTCCCCTTGTTTCTCACAGCTGTCAGTGAGTAACAGAGCTGGGATTCTTGGGGCAATGTGTGCCCTGGGCTGTCCCTGTGCAGAGCACAGCAACGAGAGGAACAGTTCCAGTTCTGGGAGTCCCATCACAGCCAACAAAAGGAACAATTCCCAGTTCTGGGAGTCCCATCACAGCCAACAAAAGGAACAGTTCCAGTTCTGGGAGACCCAGCACAGCCAACAAAAGGCTGACTTCTACACACACCTGATAAAGGAGTTATTCCAGCTGGGACCTAGGTGTAACAGCAGGAAGGCTGTGAGATGTTTTCATCAGTTAATAAAGATCCCCTGTTCAGAGGGGATCTCAAGAACAGCCTGGATTTTAATGTGGCTTTTAAGTTGTAATGGAACACAAAAATGTGCTTTGGATGCTCTCAAATGGAACTTCAGTGTTGGCTGGACCCTCAAATGGGGCCATTTCTGGAGACCCTCAGTCCTGTGGAAAAGGATGTTTGGATGCCTCTTCACTCTGCCTGGCCAAACTCCTTTCTTTAATTCCTTCTGGAGACACTGAATGTAAAACAGAGGCTGTCACACATTGCACTGATGATTCAGTGCTGCCTTTTCATGTAATTTCTGAAATGTTTCTGTCCTGGGCCAACCCTCTGACACCTTAAAGGTTTGAGATAAACCACCACAGTCACAACCAGGACAGCATTTCTCCACTGGAGGGGTTATGTCATAATTTGGGGACATGAAATCACAATAATTCATTAGAATTCCCATAAATTATAATTATAACCCCTACTTTTGTTTGCCAAACAAGCTCTATTCCCCTACGTTTGTTTTGTAGGATCTGTTTTATGGCACTCCAATGAATTTCATACACACAACTTGACAGCTTTAAGGTTATTAAAGCCTTTGCAAATGCTTGTTTTGTCAAGTTGCACATGCTCCCTTCCCAGATTTTGCAATTATCCTTTCAATACATCACATTAACAAGCATAAAAAGATGTTGCTTCTAAGTCTACAAAATACTGTTCAATTGGAAAAAAAAAATACCCTAGAGGAGTACAAGCACCATTTAGAGGAATTTGATTAAAAATGAAACACTCAAAGCTAGAAAGTGTTCAATAGTTTGTTTTATGGAATGTGGTGGGATATTGTACTGGACAAGTAATCTACAATTCATGATGCTTTCTGCTTAGAGCCCTGCAATCAATAAAGAAAAGAAAAAAATCAATGTTTCTTTTAATAACTCTGCAATGAATAACAGCAGTGATGCTGCTGGAGAAGAGGCACATTCAGGATAACTTCTGGAAAACTGAGACACTTTTCCTGTAGCAGAGAAAATATTGTAAACTGCATAAGGATGGAGTGATACATTGTGAAATACCACAGATAATTCAAGCTATTGAGGTATACTTCAGGTTCCCAACTCAGTATCATTAAAAAGCATTCAGTAAAGCACAGTTTTTGTATTAGCTGTATTTGTGACAGACGATATTTTAAACAGAGATGGAGCAAATGGACACACTCAGAGATTGTTTTTATGTATTTCTCACTTTGCCCAGTGCTGAAATTTATCTGACACATTAGATGGCTTCTTGTTTTCCTTCAGACCTGTTTAAAGAATAAATTCTGATTATTTGATAACAAAAGTGAACAAGTACATAAATTTTTCCCTGAGTGGGACCCTTAAGCTGCTTCCAACTCCGAGTCACACTGAGACAGGAGAACATGCCCTAATGATTTTCCAATGAGCAGTGATTAAGAGCTGTCTTTAAAACCTGTTTGCTTCCCACATTTTACAGGGGATTACAGACAGAGCAGCACAGCTCTGCCAGTGTTCAGTGAGCCAATAACAGCTGGAAAACAGAGTGGTGTCAGCAAGGGTGAAACAGGAGAGAGATTCTGCTGCAGATTCTGCCTGAGCCAAAACCCACCCTGCTCCTTGCAACAAGAATCCTCCCCCAGCACGGCCTCAAACACTGCTCCAGTCAACAAACCTTTGGATCAGGCAGGAGAAAACCTCTTTTCAAAACTATGAAAAATGCTCAGAAGTCTTTTGGGTAATTTCCTCTGGTTTGTGATCATTCTACATTTGATATCTGTCACTAGAACTTTCCAGACTTTAAAACACCCTGAAAATTCTCCCTTGTCATTTCACCTAAACACTGAGAGAATTTGCTTAAAGGCTTTGTTTCAGTCTCTGCCTCTCTGCTCATGGATCCAGGGAAAGGACCACGATAGGGGGAGAAAAAATAAAAGGAAAAAAAATCTGTTTGTACTTGAGGGATGTGCTTTTCAGCCAGGCATTCTGTCCATGAGCTGTGTGAGGAACAGAGCAAACACAACACAGACTGCACACAGACACTTTTCTGATCCAACTGAATCTGATCCCCATCACTGAATCACAAACTAATCACAAACTAATCACAAACTAATCACAAACTAATCACAAACTAATCACAAACTAATCACAAACTAATCACAAAAAATATGTAAAGATCACAAGGATTTCAACAAGTCCAGCCTTCCTCTGCTGCCCTACACATCTTCCAGTGATTCCAAGTGTGTCTGGAAAACTTCCTAAAAGATCTGCCACACACAAATGCAATTTCCTGTGATAAATCTTTCCCCCGTGCTCTTACCTGGCTTCCTGCAGCACTGCTCCCATCACCTGGCACTTCTCTCTGCATTTGATATCTTCATTTACATCTGTCCCACCAAAGATGATTCCAAAAGGAATTCTGCTCCCTGCAAAGCAATGGCTGCAATGAGAATTTTCCCAGCGTGTCCACGTAAGGGCCAGGAGTGAAAAAGCACATTGATAATACTGAATCACCTCTGTGAGCAGAACTCTTGGAAAAGGAAACCTGGAGAAACTTGAATTTTAATTTTTTTTAGCACTGAAACCCCCCCAGAGTAACTCTGAACTTTCACAGGACACCAAACCAAATGGGAAACCAAGTATTTCGATAAGGATAGAACACCTACCATAGATTTTACATTTGCATTTGAAAGTTAAGTGAGCTGTAAGACCAGGATTTATTAGCATTGCTAATTTCCTCATTACTAAATGAGAGAGCAAGCAAAAAGAACGAAAGACTAATTACCATGCTGGCTACTTGGAGAATTTCCTTGGCATTTGTTGATATTCCACTCTAATGTTTGCAGGTGAAGGGAATTAATGTGCACTATCAAAACACCACTGCCTCTAATCTTCAAGAGACAGACTGTCTGTAATACATTATAAAATATGTATCACCTCTTTAATAAATTTAAAAAGTAAATAATTCTGATGTTATCTTTTACGTGTGTTGATCATGTAAACAGAATTTCCAGGATGAGGCCAAACAGATCAATAGTGTGGCAGCAATGGCAGTGTGAGGGTAATCATTGAATTTCTAAATCTCCCAGGAGCCAGGAATCACTCTGAATCCTCCCAAACACTTCTTTCCTCCCAAAAGTCTGCTGAGATGATCACAGTCAAAGAGTAAAAGCTTTTGCAATCTTACTGCTACTGTCCTAGCTTTCAGAGATTTTTGGTTTATTTTTCTTTCATTCACTGCAGATACTTTTTAGAACAGTGTAACTGATTTATATAAATATTTATTTAAATATTTAAATCAGTGTAACTGATTTATTTAAATGCCTGAGCTTTTGTAAAGTGTTCAGGTCACTTGAAAAGCTACAGCAGCAGCATTTAGGCATTGCCATTCAAGTTCAACTCAAATAAAATTTCACTCCAATAAACAGTTAAAATTCAACTTTATCTTCTGTTCCTCAGGAAAAATCCCAAAAAAACCCAAAAAGATGGTTCTCAGACTTTCCATAAGACTCTTCCAAAACAACACAAGGTCTTGTCAAGAAACCAATCCTCTCTCTATTCCAACAAGCCTTAATTGATATGTTAGCAGAGCTCATTTTGCAGACTAATTCCAGATTTGTATTCTAGGTCCCTGCTGAAATCAGAGCCCCTTTGGAACAAAGGAAACCCAGGCAGAGCAGACATGATAATTCAGGCTTTCTGCAAAGCCACCACAACAAACTGAAGTCTCCAAAGCAGCAGAGCAGAGCTCACCCTGAGAGTGATTCCACCCGAGGGAAGTGTGGAATTATGTCTTTGTTGCAGTGAATGGATTTATACAACCCAGAGGTGCTCTCAGAAAAGGATGCACGCTTGCAATTTCAGTAGGTGACACTGGCTGTAATTTTGAGAGCCAGTGCTGCTGCCATATCATTAATGGCAGGCTAAAATTTTGTTCTACGTGGCTAGAGAGAGTAGAAAATTTTATTATTTGTCTGATAACATCCTGTCTCCTATAGTTTAGCTGACAGGAATGTTATTTCATGTCGAAAAACCCTGACTCATTTTTGAGGAAAAAAAAATCAAATTAGCCTCCCTGCTTTCTTCCATTTGACCCCAGCTCTACTTAGCCAAGCCATTTTCCTCTGAAAGAACACATTTGCTGAAAGGATCCTGATGTTAAGGTAATGCTCTTATCCTGATGTACTTAAAGTACTTAATTATCAAAAGCACTATGTGGTTTAAAAGTACATTTATTTAGTTCTCTCTGTATCAGATCTCCCACTGAGAGAGATTTTTAGCATTTCTGAACATTTACTGAAGTGGATAAACAGAATAAGGATATTCTGTGTGGGTTTATGCATTTACAGCCATTTATAACAGCTAGGATTCGTTCTCTTCCCTTGCAGGACTCTTTTAAGAGGTATTTTTATCACAAGTAGAAGGAGGATTACCTTGCAGCAGTCTGCCTGCTTTATAGAGGTGAATGGCCAGGGCTGCATCAAACTCATCTGTGGAGGTCAGATTTGCTATTTCAGCTGGACTCCCATACATGAAAGCATCTTTTAGAACACAGGTATGACCTGCAGCATGGAGATGATCCCTTCATTATTGGAAAAAACAGAAGAAGAATGCAGAGTCACTATTCATGTCAGAGGCACACCAGTAGATGAAGTAAACTAATCAAAATATTTTCCCTTAAACTTTGCTCTGATTTTCAACTTGATGCCATTTTTGTTCAAGCAGCCAGGAGCTTTTGCCAAGGCTGGGTTTTTTCCTGGAGGGTTTTTGTCACCTGTGGAGCCACAGGCACGGCCCCAAGCCTGAAAATCAGAATTAATGAAGGATTAATTAATTAACCCAGGACCCTGAGTGCAATTTCTGATGCTAAAACCCTCCTTTAGCAGTGAGTGTGTCACACCTTGCTCTCAGAGATTCTCAGACCTTCCCTTCTGCAGAAAGGACACCCAAATGAAGAAAGCACAAATACGTCCAGCTGCTCAATGCTACAAAAACACAGAACATAAAAACTGATGCATCAAGAAGGGCAGAGTTGAATGTTTCCCCTTCCTGTTTGATCGTGGGATTAACTGCTTCTTGTCTTAGCCCACCCATTTATAAACCAAAGGATAACTGAAATATAAGCAAGAAACTACACAGAAGTAATTACACAAATACCTTCACAGTCTGCTTTAAAAATCTCAGCTCCAAAAAAGAAAAACCAACAAATCCAAGGACAGGTTGGTAAGTCAGCTTACCCATTCATCTTTGGAAACAGTGGTTCCTCAAATTAAAACATTGTGCAAAGACTGTCAAAGCCAAGAAACTGATTGATTTAATAAACTTAAATTTTTAATTTTAATTTAATTTAAATGAAAGACAGCTTCACTCCTCTCCCTGAAACCAGCATCAGTTATCAATGTTCCCAAGAACATCAGCCAGAACACATCCAGGAGAAAATCTGTGTCTGCCCACCCTGAGTGTTTGCACTGCAGTGTCACAAAAACACCACGAGAATGTTCCCTGCTTATTCCAGATCATTGCAGCTGATTTATTTCTCATCGTGTATTAATTGTTCTGGCATTAAAATCCTGCTAATTCACTGACTTCCTGGATAATGCTGGCTTTCATTTCCTGATTATTTCATAGCCTCCCAAGAAATGTCATTTTCTGTCCTGCAGAAGTTAGTCATTACTGCAGAAATTGCTGCTAAAAGTGCTGTAAAATGTCTGGAGGACATTTAGGATTAACACCACAACAGCTAGAGCTCCACTGGCACAACATATGGTGCTGGATTTCTTCCTCATCCCAAAAAGAAACTCCTTTTAACTCTGCTGTTCGGAACAAGAGCAATAAATTGTGAGAAATACCAATAAATAATAGAACACAGCCCCATTTTAAGCTCCTTATTTACACTGCTGAGCAATTATTACCACCAGCAGCCCCATGAACTGGCTCTCAAAACAGGTTCTCAATTTGTATCTAAATAATGATGCCCAAATGTCCCAGATGTGGAGAGAAAATCTCCTGGGAAAACTCTGGGGATGCTGGTGCATGCATCCCAGAATTTCACAGGTGCTCATTAAACAGTCTAAAAGGGTTTTTTTCCCCATCAGTATTCCAATTACCATAAATCACTATCATGTACAAGCAATATGTTTGCATATTACAATTAATTTGAAAATAACTCTCTCGGGACATCAGGAATGGAGAAACTCAGCATGGAATTCCAATCCAAAGTGGTTGTTTTTTTTTTAAAATGTACCAGGGATGACTTCTCCTCCTCCACGCTTTCCACCGCTCCCAATCCCCCTGGGGAATGACAGCTGTTTCAGCACTAAATAGAGAGGGACTCCCTCAAGTGTTCCAAGGCTCAGAAATTATGCATTACCTCTAGTATTTATTTGGGTTTTTTTTCTTTTACAGATTTTTATTCTACTCAGGAGCGCATAAAAAAATCTGCGTGCATCTTTAGAAGGGAAAATAAGCAAATATTCCCAGAATAATTCAAATTCCCAGGTTTAAAGAGGCCTTGATCCCCTAAACATTCCATTGAGTTTGATATCATTAATCACAAGCTTCACATTATGCATATATGGAAATACCAGGGTGTAGAAGCTGAGTTACCGGGTATTTAAGTTCTGAAATTTACAATGTTATTTTCTTTTCTAAGTGGCTTTTCATCTTTATAACCAAAAAAAGCAGACTGTGATTTTCACACACATGCTGCTACCAAGGAGCACGATTAGAAGTTATTGCAGGAGATGTTTTTTGAAGACTGCTGTGTCCATGAAGTCCCAGATGTCCCTGAGCGAAGCCAGCACAGAGGAGACACATTATCCATGTCTTTTCTCCTCCCAAATGCCTTGTCACACTGTTCTGCCATTCCATAAACAAGTATTTTCTGAATGAGAAATAAAAATCAGCCCAGCTCCTGCTGTCTGGGAATTAAAGACAATGCTGAAGTGCCCAGTCTCAAGGCTCTGTTTCTATCCCAGCTCCAGTACAGGAGATAAATTCCCACCTGTCCAAACAAACAGCGATTATTCCTTGGATCAAGAATTTGCCTTGCCCCATTTCTCCCTTCTGCTGAAACTCTCATGGAAGCCAATGCCACAAAGTGGGGAAAATAAAGATTTCTAAAATGGAGCTGAGCTGTCAGATCCCAGATTTGGGGTGTTTTTCTAGGCAGAAAGCATCAGGGAGAACTTTAGCCACTCAGTAAATGTGAAAGAGCATTGTTAGAAGTACATGATACTGCTCACTGCTTACACTGTGATATTTATACACACCTGAATATTGGACAAATATCCTCATTTTAGCATTCAGGAAATTAATTTCTCTTTTGTTTGGTATATTTTTTATGTTCTTTGGAAATCACAAAGCTTGTAAGTGGAATTTCTAAGCGTGTTCTGAGATTCCCATCCAAAAACCATTTTTCTCTAACACATCTATGAAATACCAATCAATGTTTCATTTTCTATTCCCTACATAATTGATCACCACTGCTCACTTTTCCTGGCCAGCAGTCCTCCCTCCCTCAGCAGGAATCTGCAGTTCACAGGTTTTCATAAGGAAACAGAGTTCCAAACACAGCCTGGCTGAGGAGAAGGCACAGGAGTTAAAATTGTGATTATTCCTAAGGTATTATGGCTGTGAAACTTGCTCAGTTTTCTGTGATGTCTTCCTTTCAGAAACATTTATGTTCTAAATTTCAACTGACACTGATCTAATGGAATTACTTGCAGACAAGGAATGTTTGATTTCCAAAAAGTTCCTGGTAGGTGGATACACTGACACTTCTTGAATGGCACAAAATAGGCTTCATCCAAAAATATTAATTATCTCTTTCCCTCAGCTGTCTGCTCTGCACAGCAGCTGTGCACCAACTCCAGTTATATTACATATATTTAACTATACTGTTAAATATATATGGCACAATTCAGAGCCATAAATGAGCAGAGTTCATTCCAGTGCCTCTGAGACACCCAGCCACACCTGGATACTCACAACTCCCACTGAAGCTCTGAGCTGAAACCCTGCTTCATTTGCTATTTTATTCATAAATTATCTTCTGCTTTTCGTAATTGTTAAAACAACACAACCTTCATTTTATTTCCCTCTCAAGCTTCTCCTTGAAGCAACACAGACAAATTGCATTGGTGTGAGTCAACTGTGACTAAAATTCACTGTGAATCACAGAAGTTAAAGATGTTACCAAGATGGGGACCAGCTCCTCCTGTCTCTGCTCTCAATTCTGCAGCTGAGCTCCAAGGAGCTCTGGAAGGACCCAAAGAACTCTGCAAAGTTTAAACCTGTGCTACAAATACAGACTGTTGTACTGCAAACCGTGGCTGCAGATGAACACCTGTCCTGCAGGTCCCTGCTCTGGGAGTGGCCCTGCAGAGCCAGCAGGGACCTCCAGAACCTGAGCAGGGACCTCCAGAACCTGAGCAGGGACCTCCAGAACCTCCAGAACCTGAGCAGGGACCACCAGAACCTCCAGAACCCAAGCAGGGACCTCCAGAACCTGAGCAGGGACCTCCAGAACCTGAGCAGAGGCAGCAAGGAGCTGCAGAACCTGAGCAGGGACCTCCAGAACCTGAGCAGGGACCTCCAGAAACCAAGCAGGGACCTCCAGAACCTCCAGAAGCCCAGCAGAGGCAGCAGGGAGCTGCAGGAGCTCCCACACCTGCCCTGAGGACAGGAGGACCCCTGCCCTGGGAGCGCTCTCCTGTGGGATGTAACACTGGCACACAGGCCAAGGTGAAGCAGCAGAAATGTCTGGATCACTGAATTACTGCAGTAAATGTCTCAGCTCAAACCCAGCTGTCCAGAGGAATGATAAGTGCCGCTGAATTTGTGGTTTTAATTCTCTCACAGTTGATTTCCTGGAGATTTACAGAATGGCTGTCTCAACTGGCCAGTTAAAGAGCCAAAACAATCTCTCCCTCTCCAGAAAACATTTACATATTGGCAAAACAGTTAATCTAAATCTTGCTAATTAACCTATTAATTCCAGATTTCTATTCCTCCTTACTGCATAAAAGACGAACAAAACATTTCAAGGGGCAGGGAAGAATAATTTATTTTCCTCCTTGACACCCTCTTTGATCTCATTTCTAAGGCTGAGCAAAGACTTTTGCTTAGTGCTGTATTCTTTATTCACTGCTCCTGTTTTTTAAGGTGATTAAAGATCATGCACCAATAGGAGTAAAGCCCAGAGCACATTCATTACACCACTTGTTTTAGCAAGTTGATTTTTAGCCAAATTAGATCCTGGTGCCTTTGTCACCACTCACTTTAAACTCAGGAAATGAGTATCTTATTTATGAAAAGATGAAGCAGTTGTTGGAAGAGTTGTAATATCATAAACAGAGTATACTCTGTGATATTAAGCCATAAAATTAATACATGCTGGCAAGTGTTCAACCCAGAGACAACATCATTGTTTCATTTATATTTAACCAAAAGTTCAATATTTAAAAAAACTGAACAAATAACTTCCTAAGCACATGCACAGAAACAACTGAAGGCAAATATTAACTGCAATATGTATTTTATGTGTATTAACACACATGATACAGAGTTTGCCACGTGCACACAACCTCAGTATGGCAGATTGGTGTTAAAAGTGACACAGCCACACATAAAGGTTTTGGGGTGATTTTTAATGGCATAAAGTCTTTAAAAAATCAGTATGGGATAGAAATAGCTGCACAGGATGGTTTTAGTGATGACCTAGCCTTTTAGTCAGGAATATGGACTTAAGAGCTAGCTAATACTCTTGACTTTTTCCCTGACCAGAATTGTTTCCTTTCCCTGAAGGCTCACTTACATTATTCCAATAAATAACATTTACAGCAGGTGATAAAACAGGAATTAAACATGACACAAGTTACCCTCAAACACCATTTCTGCTAGAATCCTTTACCCAGCTTTATTATGAATGTCAATTAAGTTTATCTCTCATTATTTTCTTTCTGTTTGAAGGTCTATGTGCACGAGAAAGCAGCACCCACTTGGCCTGAGGAATTCCCACTCTTGGCCTGAGGAATTCCCACCCTTGGCCTGAGGAATTCTCACTCTTGGCCTGAGGAATTCCCAGGACGCTGCAGTGGGTGGCTGTGCTCCCACAGCTGCAAAGCACTGCATTAATCTGTTATTATTATGTGTAATTATTATTAATTATGTGTTAAACCATCTGCCAGCTGAGCTGCTGCAGCCCACCAAGCCTGTGCCCCTTCATCCCAAAACTATTATTTTATATATATTTTATTTTATATATATTTTATATATTATATATTTTATGTATATTTTTATATATTTATAAATATATATAATATATAATATATATTTATATATTTTTATGCATTTTATAGATATATTTGTATATATATTTTATATCCACCATCACATGCCACAGCTGCAGCCACCAAAATTGCTGCTTGCCATGGCTGAAGGCACCTTGCTCATCCTCCCTTGGTACTGTGTGCTCACACACCACTGTCAGTGTAATAATAAAATCTTATTATTGACATAATTGTGAACATTTGTTTTTCTGGCTCATTCAGGCTTATTTTAACTAGAAACAATGCAAAAGCTGATTTTCCACCAGGTCAGCTCTGAACAGCTCCAGTCTAAATGTGTGTCTGACTTCCTTCAAAGTGGAATTGGAAGGGGGTAAGTATTTAATTTGTAAAGGTAAATAACCTTACAGAGGAAAACTGAGCAGTGATGTCCCCAAGAAAAACTAGTTTTGTATTATCCAAAGCAAAGGGTAAGATCCGAAAGGAAATGGAGACTGCCACAGGAGCTCTGCTGAAATGTACAGGCATAAAAATACATACTTGTATCTCAAAATTTTAGTAACAATTATTGTTTTGAAATACCAAAACCTTCATCTTTCTCTGCTCTGGGTATCTTCAGAGCCTGGGTGAGAGACAGGACCAGCAGATACGTTCTGCCAGCACCTTACACAGCAGAGCAGCCCTGCAGAACTCTGAGGCTGCCCTTGGCATGACACAAACAGTGTGAAAACTTAAATGTCTGAGGATGTTTCCATGCATAACATTACACGGGAGATAATACCCAGCTCAAGGGCAGGGAAAACTCATCACAGCAGAATATCCCAAGAGATTCATCCGAAGAAAAACAACTAAACTGCGGACGACTTTTAGATAAGATGAAACCAAATCGTTATTTCGGGCCTCAAGAGGACAAAACCATTGGGAAATTAATTAATTTTTATAGCGACTTTTTTTTTTTATCGCTCACCCGCACAGGGAAGCCCCAGCAGCACCGCTCTCAGCCAACATCCTTTTCCCACGTCACAGAGAGCGTTCAATGGGGACATCGGGAATGTTTCTGAGGCTGTTAGCCCGGGCCATTCCCAGCGCTGCGGCCGAGGGAGCTCCGCGCTGCCCTGCGGCTGTGCCAGCCGGGATCAGCCGTGATCAGCCGTGCCCGGCAGCGGCTCCGGAGCCGGGCTCAGCCCTGCCGGGGAACGGCTCCGGAGCTGGGATCAGCCCTGCCGGGGATCGGCGGCTCCGGAGCCGGGCTCAGCCCTGCCCGGGAGGAGCGGCCCCGGAGCCGGGCTCAGCCCTGCCGGGAGCGGCCCCGCCGTGCCCCGGCCCTCACACACCCCCGGCCGGCCGGAGCCGCCTCCGTGCACCGGCAGCGCCTGCCAGCCGGGCCCTGCCCGCCGGGGCACCCTCCCCACACGGAGCGCACCCTTCCTTCCCCGCGGCTCGGAGCGCATCCTCCCCCGCGGCACTGACCGGATCCTGGCGGCCGTGGTGGCGTTGCCGGTGCGTGCCCGCAGACACGCCAGCAGCAGCAGCCTCATCGCGGCCGCTCCGCTCCGCTCCGCCCGCCTCACCTGCCCCGGGCCCGGAAAGCGCGGCCCCCGGCCCTGCGCGGGGATGGGCCAGCCCTGCCAGCTGCCCCGGCCAGAGGACACCTGGCTACCGAGCCCGGAGCTTTGCGTGCCTTCCCACACCTCTAGACAGCGCTGTGTGTTCTCGTTACTCAGCCATAGAGATGATGCGCTCAGATGGTGGCCAGGGAAACATTAATTCAGAGGCCTCCGAGGAGAGCATCACAGCCTCCTGATGGCACCGTGTGCCTCCCCGTGAGCTGCCTCGTGCTCGCTGCGGGAACACCGTTAGGAAAAACATACATGTGGGTAAGATGCTAACCCCCAGAACAGCCAGAGGAATGTGCTAGTCCAAAAAACAAAGCAGTGGGATGGTCAAAAACCATCCAACATCAGGAAGGCCATAACGAAGCTGAGCCAAAGTTGTGTGAGAGCAAGGGGAAGGTCTGGCAAGAAACCACAGCAGCAGACAGAATCCAAAAATGCAACGAAACAGGGAAGAGAAAAAGAACAAACCTGAACTCTGGACGAAGCAAAACGTCTCCCAGACCAGCGAGGCAGTGTTCAGGATCAAAGGGGTGCACCCCAATGAGAGTGAGGAACACAGAAGAGCTGAGAGGGGCAGCAGGCAGGAAGGTGAGGGGCCCGTTAGGGAGTGCCTTGGGACATTAACAAGAAACAGGTGGCTGATGGTAGATACACCTGAATGTGTTCCAACATCTTGTAACGCTATTGAGAACAGGTGTGGGACATTGGTGGTGATGAGAAGGGGGGTGGCTGGACAGAAAACTCACTTTATTATAACCTAGTTTGATTGCATGATGCAATTCACCCCAGGGTCACACAGATGCCAGCTTCCCCAAAGGCTGGAGAAGACAGGGAAAGGTCCTCTTCAAAAACTGCAGTGCCTTGCTATTATAGCCTAAATTACTCTTCAAATTTCAGTGTCAGGTAGACAGAGAGAAAAATATGTAGAAAAGGTATGCCATGGACAGAGGACTATTGAATTTAATCATTTTTGAAACAATACTTCTTCCAATAATTTGTGTGGCTTTCTGAGGCTAACAGGTGTTTTGTAATTGAGGGTTTAGAAGTGGTAAAAACACACACTGGAGTGGGTTCTGTAAACATTTTGGTGGGCAGGCTCATGTTTTGCTAACGAGTCTTAGTGCTGCAAAGCTGCATCTCACCGAGTTCTCACTTAGATTCAGCACATTATTTAGACCACTTCAAACTCCACTGGAACTAAAAATTTTGGCTACAACCTGGAAGAGCAACCAATCTTGCAGAAATGCTAGAAATAGGGTAAATGCTAATCAAAGGGTAGGCAGAACCAAACCAGTTTTGTTCTAGAAAGTGTTTCTGGCACTGAAATCCCCCTGGTGTTGAGATGTGTGGGGCTCTTGTGAGTCTGGCCAGGGTTGCAGCCTTGGAGCAGCTGACGTGAAGCACATTTGGGTGTCTGAGACTGGCACTGCTCCCACCTGCAGGTGTCACACAGGCCCAGCCCCTGCCACACTCCTGCTCCCCTGCACACAACACAGGTCTGGCAGCACACCCACAACAGCCTGGGCAGGCAGAAACGGAGATTCTCCAGGCAGGATGTCTGACTGTGGCTCAGAGAGACACGTTTTGGGTTAGCTAAAGCTCTCCAACTCATTTAGTGTGCAACACAAAGAAGACAAAAATGCAAACGTCAAAATAAGACAAAGCCTGCCCCATGAGGAATGAGGAAACTCAACCAGTCGTCTGAGAAATAAAGAGGAGATAAAGGAAACATTCAAAGAGATCTTACCATTTTATCACTATTTATGGTAACTCTGGCTTTATGCTATATAGGCTTTGACTGAAAAAAATAACCTGGAAAGGTGCAGCATTGTATCTTGAAAATACGGACATGCATTAATGTATTCCTTTACAGACACAGCTGCACCCACTGTGTTTAGAGAAAGGATCATGGATGTATCAGAAAGAAGTTTTAAACACACTGTAGCAAAGTGTTGTTTGGAGGAATATTAAAAGCTCCTTCCTGAGCTGCTGCACTGCCAGAGAGAATGTTTGGGTTCTAACCTGTGAGTTTCAGTGAGAGTACCCACAGCTCTATAGCTGAAAAGTAACATTTTAATGTACATTTCAGCCACTGCCCAGCATTTTTAGGTGTTTGTACCAGCTGTGGGATAGGTCAATATAGAAATCTCACCTCACTCACCAAGGTAAATGATGAAGAACATAAAACATGAAAACAAGACACAGCAATTCAAAGTCTGCTTCATTACTTTGAGTCTCCAGAAAATACTACTAATACTCAAAATGCAATCACAGTTAATATGACAATACTGTATTAAGCTAGGAAAAGATGAAATGTAACTTCATTACAGAATCAGTCACATTCCAGTAGTCCACAGACATGTCTGTACAGCTGGTTCCTTATTCCTTATTGTCCTTTGTCATGAAATTGGTTAACTGCTTTAGAGAGCAAATATATTTAATGAGTCATTTTTATGGCATATGCTATTTACAAAGGCCCATTATTAAATGAATATATTTACTTTTACAAGCATCACTTGCTGCACTACCAACACTGCCCCAAAGTAAGTCATGCCCAAATGTTTGGTGTATAACTATTTGTCAATCAATTTAACTTTCTCACTGAAAACACAGAACCACCAGTGTCTTACCCACTTTGTTCCAGGCAAAAATAAGACTTTAAGATCTGCTGCTGAAGACTGTTTCATACATTCACAACCTTTACCTCAACAGGTGTGATGGTGGAACTGCAGCACGTCTTAGGGCTCTAATCTTACAACTGCTAATTGATGTTTTCCCATTTGGAGCGCGTGCTCTGTCCCACTGGAATCAGAGTGGTCATTCTCCATGTGTACCTGGATAATTCCTGCGTGCCTTCCCACCCGAGTCACCAGGCACACCCTGGTGCTGGGCCAGGCCCACTGCTTCCAAACACACATAAAAACACATACAAAAACACATATATGCATGTTTCACAGTGCACATTATCACCTTTTCCTGCTGAAAGGCCTTGTTGTGAAACAGTCTTAAACTATAGCATTAAATGACCCTAAAAAAGCCCAAAGAGGATCTGGGGTCTGGAGCATCTCTCTTTTGAGGGAACGTGGGAGCTGGGCCTGTTCAATCTCGAGAGACTGAGAAGGGATCTCTTTAAGGCATAGAAATATCTCAGAGTGGCTGCCAAGGAATCGGGGCCTTTTCAGCGGTGCCCAGCACCAGCATGAGGAGCAGCGCCCATAAACTAAAGCACCACAATTCCACCTCTCCATCACGAACTTATTTTCACTAGGGATGGCAGAGCAGGGGAAAGCTGCCCAGGGAGGCCGTGGGTTCTCTCTCTGCGGACATTCCAAACCCACCCGGACGGGCTCCTGCGCCAGCGGGGCTTGGCCCGGGCCTTCTCCAGAGGTCCCTTCCAACAGAACCGCTCCGGAGGTTCTGCGGACACCCATTTCCCTGCTGCAGCCGATTCACAGCGAGGAGAGGCACCGCACAGCCCGGCGTGCCCAGCTCGGGCCGGGCTCTGCCGGACACGCTCCGGACACCCTGCGGGCCCTCCACCACCGCCCGTTCGGGCTCTGCCGGGCTCTGCCGGACACCCCCGGCCTCTCCCGCCCGGGTTCCCTCACGGCCGACGCCAGCCCAGCCCCGCCCCTTCCGCCCCGCCGCGCCCCACTCGGCCACGTGACGGCGCAGTGGGCGGGGAGACAACGCCCTCGGCCAATAGCGCAGCGCCGCTGCCGGGGGCGGGGCCTCACGCGAGCGGAGTGACAGCTGCCTCAGCCAATGGCGCGGCGCCGGTGGCGGTGCCGGGCCCGGCGGTGGGCGCGGGTCCCGTAGGGCGGGCCGGGAGCGCGGCGGGGCCGCGGGCGGCGGGGCCGGGGGGACGCGGGGCCATGGACGAGGCCGAGCCGAACGAGCGCAGCCCTTTGCTGAGCAGCGGCGAGCGCGGGCGGGCGCCGAGCAGCGCCTTCCAGGGCCGGCGGCTGGCCTGCGCAGCCGTGCTGCTGGCCGAGCTGCTGGAGCGAGTGGCCTTCTACGGCATCACCTCCAACCTGGTGCTGTTCCTCAACGGGCCGCCCTATAACTGGGAGGGCACGCAGGCCAGCCAGGCGCTGCTGCTCTTCATGGGCATCACCTACCTGGTGTCGCCGTTCGGGGGCTGGCTGGCCGACGCCCTGCTGGGCAAGTTCGGCACCATCCTGCTCAGCATGGCGCTCTACCTGCTGGGCATGCTGGCCTTCCCCGTGGTCGCCGCGCCGCACACCCGCCAGGGCCTGTGCGGGGACATCCCCCTGTTCCCCGTGGAGAACTGCTCCTCGCCGGCCGCCAACGCCACCCCGGCGCCCTGCTCCCAGCTCGGAGCCACCCGCTACTGTGCCACCGCCACCTTCGTGGGACTGGTCCTCGTGGGGCTGGGCGTCGGCTCGCTCAAGGCCAACATCACCCCGTTCGGGGCAGACCAGGTCGAGTATTGTCCGCTGGTGTCCGGCAGCTGCTGCGGCGCTCGTGGGTGCCCCAGGGGTGGCAGAGGGGCTTGCCTGGCTGGGGTGGACAGCCCGAGCCGCTGATCTCTCTGTAGGTGTCCAGCCTTGCAGGGAGTCACATCATCCAGCTCTGGTCCCTCGTGGAATGCAAGTTGTAAAGTTGTGCCCTGGCTGATGGAGTTTTGGTGCGTGTGGGCTGCCAGATCCCTTTTGCTTTCCTGGTAACCCTGCCTTAGCTGTGCTAACTGAGTTGGCTGAGCCGTCACCTTCTTGAGGACATGGGTTGAATACTCCATGGCCATTGTGGACAGTTAATTATCCTCCCTGGTGGGTTTGTACCCAGTTACTTTGACCCCAGAGCTCATCAGATGAAGTACAGGATACACATTTTATCTTTGACAAGGATGACAGGGGCCTTCTGAGGCGGTGTCAGAGGCCTTTACCATCCTGTGATAA